TATTTTAATATTTTAACAACAATCTTGCTACTGCTTATAAACCCATTAAATTTATGTAAAACAAAAAAATGACACAGGCAATTAGAAAAGCATCAGAGTTATTTATATTTAAATGCATCTAAATTACATTTACAAGCACATTACATTGTATAATTTTATTGATATTTTATTGGACAATTAATTGAGCAATATACAGCAATTTAAATTGAACGCGCAATAATATTGCAATATGTTGTAATAAACCGCAATATATGTCGATTAGTGTGCTCTTATATACGTTTAAAAACGTGAGTATGCTCTTATATACGTTTAAAAACGTGAGTATGCTATATAACGTTTAAAAACGTGAGTATGCTATATAACGTTTAAAAACGTGAGTATGCTCTTATATTAGTCTGTTATCTTATATTAGTGGTTAAAAACAAACAATGAAAATATAGCTTCTTAATTTTCTAGACATTTCGTTTTTTAGTGCAATCATGCAAATGGCAACACTTTTTATGCAAATGATGAATCTGGTTTTAGTTGTTATGGTTGCGAACCCAGATAAATTTCAATTTGTGTGGCAATAATGCATTTTCAAAATTGGTCCTTTTTAACTTTTGTTTTATTTTATATTGACTTATAATTTATTCAAACACTGATAATTTATAGTCACTTTTAATTCATGCAAAAACAGATACTTTTATACTGACTTATAAATCAAGCGAGCACTGAAATATTAATTCTTTTCTCTTAAATAGTTATTGTTTTTTTATACAGTTTTTACAGATTTCAATTGTAGTTAACTAATAATTCCAGAAGAAATAAGGAACAGATCGATGAGAAATAACCGAAGGTACACGGAATCAAATAGGCAGAGAACGAAATCTGGAACGAGAGTGAGACAAAGATTCATATTTTTTTAAAAAGAACAGCTAGGTTATAAAGTATAAAATTTGAGTTAGCACATTACATTGGTCCTAGCAACACTAAAAACAGAGAGCTATAATTTGAATGTTAATATGAATTAAAGTTGCCTTAATTAAATTAGTAAAAATTCATTTAAAGGAGGTATATTAAATAAATATTAAATATACCTCCTTTAAGTATTTAAAACAGAATTGTTTAATATTTTTAATATATTTTGTAAATTATTTTTAAAAAAAAATGAACCCTGTATTTAAATTAAGTAATAAAATATAAAATTTAAATGTTCGCACACGAACAGGGTCCGTGTATTGATTGGAATATTTTTAGCAGCAATAATGAGATCTAGTTAGCAGCAATAATGAGATCTAGTTAGCAGCAATAATGAGATCTAGTTAGCAGCAATAATGAGATCTAGTTAGCAGCAATAATGAGATCTAGTTAGCAGCAATAATGAGATCTAGTTAGCAGCAATAATGAGATCTAGTTAGCAGCAATAATGAAATCTAGTTAGCAGCAATAATGAGATCTAGTTAGCAGCAATAATGAGATCTAGTTAGCAGCAATAATGAAATCTAGTTAACAGCAATAATGAGATCTAGTTAGCAGCAATAATGAAATCTAGTTAACAGCAATAATGAGATCTAGTTAGCAGCAATAATGAGTTAGATTTAGAAAAAATTAAAGCCTATCAAGAGGAATTATGGATGAATATTTAAAAAATGATAAGCATAACAAACAGGTGCATAGCAGATTGCTTAAGTAAACGTTTAGGAAATAAAAAACATATAAATCCATCATTGATTTCTTGTGGAGTGTCCTGAGGGTCTATTTTTATGTCTCTCTTTTTCTTAATATACGTAAATTTTTGTCAATAAGAAAACCAAACTCTTGGTTTTTAGTAAGTAAAATACATCAATTATTTGACAGAATTCTTTAGTAAGTAAAAAAAAAATTTATACAAGTTATCTTTAGAATTTATAAAATATTGTAATCCGAAAATAATACCATTAAATGCCACTTGATCATATTAAAAATTATCACTAATTAAAAAAGTCAAATGCATTTATTCAAATTAATCAATAAATTATTTTCAATATCAGCACATTGCAACAGTTTTGATGATGTTGTAATTAATCTGTAATGACGTATAATATACTGCTCTTGATACCTGAAAAAACTTTATTTTCAATACTACGTATATTTGTGAGGTTAGGTTAGGTTTATTTATTCATGGTCAAAAATAAATTTACACATTTTTTTTGACAAACAGCGGCACACCAGACCTCTCTGTTATGAAAATACAGTTTTTCAATTTCAGCTCAAGTGAAGATGCCGTAGCAGAGAAAATTTGTGTTTAAAATTGTTCAAATTTGTATTGTTTAAAAATACATATTTTTGTACGCGGTTTCAACTCTTGTAAAAGACAAAAAAGCGCATGCGCAAAACAGCAATTTCCTTAGTAAATGTTTAAGAGTTTAAAACTTACATTGTTTATATGTTGAAAAAAAAATTATCTGCAAGCAAATGCCTGCAGGCATTTGCTTTTTTGCAAACAACATTTAAAAAAACAAACAACAAACATTAAAAAAACAAATTGGGTTCTTTTCCATCCAGTCTCAAAAAAAGCTTACTTATTCCGAAGTTTGCCTTATATTTTTATTGATGATGCTGAAATAAAAAAAAATTATTTAACAAAGTTCTTAGTTGTTTTCCTTGATGAAAACATCACATGGAAAACGCATATCGACTTTAATGGTACAAAAATTTCTGAAAAATATTGGAATTTTATATAAAGCCAGAACATTTTATGAAAAAAATCTAAAGTTTATTACTCATTTATATAAATATTAACTTATTACTCGTAGTTATTTAAACTATGCTAATATTGTATGGGAAAGCACTGTAATAAGTAAATTGAAATGCCTTTATCGCCGTCAGAAACCATGGCCACGGGTTTTGAAATAGAGGGGCACAATTGTCTATTTCTAAAAAAAGTCCTCTATATCTAGAATTTTCTCTAAAAAAAAAGTAATAATAAATAAAAAATTAAAAGTCCTTTAGAAAAAAAACCAGGGATCCCCCCGAACCCCTCCCCTCCCCCATCCCACTCCCTCCTCCTGGCTTAATACTTTTAATGTTTTGTGCTTTATGTTTATGTGGAAAAATAACATATTTTTACCATTTTCAAAGATCTCTTTTTAAAACCAAAAAATAAATATACACTTAGAAATAATAATTTTATAAATGAACCTTTTTGTCGAACAAATTTTAATCAGTTTTGTATTACATTTTGTTTTGCATATACAATCTTTGGAATAAAATTGTTTTGTCCAATTTTGATATGCCTTTTACTTTTCCTATTTACTTTTTTAATATAAACTGAAAAACTAAATTAACCTAATCGATGATGTCAGGTATTTTTAATTGTAATTATATAATTTGTTTTAAACTTTTATTGTAAATTATGTTTTATTTTGGTGATTATGTATTGATTAGTTTATATAAACATGCTTGTAAAAGATTCTGACGAAAAAATCAGTACGATCTTCTTTCAGAAAGCTACTTTGAAAGTAATTCATTTACTATGAAAACAAATAAAAACTAAAAAAAAAAAACCCTTTTTTTTACTTTATATATGGTGGCATATAATTTTGTTAAAAAATATATTGTCTTTTTTTATTACCCCTCAAAAATCGTTGTTAGATGGTATTAAAAATTTTGAATATTAGTATATATATATATATATATATATATATATATATATATATATATATATATATATATATATATATATATATATATATATATACATATATATATATATATATATATATATATATATATATATATATATATATAAATATATATATATATATATATATATATATATATATATATATATACATATATATATATATATATATATATATATATATATATATATATATATATATATATATATATATATATATATATATATATATATATATATATATATATATATATATATATACATATATATATATATATATATATATATATATATATATATATATATATATATATATATATATATATATATATATATATATATATATATATATATATACATCATAAAGTAATAAGGTAAAGTGCCATAAGCAACAACAACAACAAAATCCTAAATTTTTTTTTATTTGCCGACTTTAAAATGTCAAAATTTGCCGAATGCAATTCGATAAAGACCGGTGGGGGTAGATACTTAACCACTATAGATTTAATAAGCTGACTGCGTCATTATTACCATAAGTATAATAATTTTCACGAATTTTTATATAAGGAATCAAAGACAAGCCTCAGAGATCATTCATAATATATATATAGACTTACAAAAATAATATCATAGTTTATCATTTTTACTTGGCTATTTAGTTCATAAATTAGATATAATACTTGCCTAACTCAGTTAACAAAGTGCACCAAAAAATTAGTAAGCAATAGGACTTTGCGTTCCATCAGTAAACTGTCGTGTTGCCTAACCCTCAATTTCTTTAATCTTTCCTTTTCATGATAGGTAAATTAAGTAAAGTTTTAATAATGTTGCCTAAGGTTAGCCCTCTATTTCTGGATTTTTTTTTTTTTTTTTATAGGCACTTAAGCACAAATATTTTTATAACATTTTATAATTTTTTTACTTTTTTTTTTTTTACTTTTAATAAATAAATAAATAAGACAAATTATAATAAAACAAATAGAGTAACATATAATATATAATACAACTAAATAAATATATACAACTAAAAAAGTTACAATCTATATCACCTGAAAAAGCTATCAATATTAAGAATTAATAAAAGTAGCAAATGAAATATGAGTTTCACTTTTTACATAAAACAATGAATAGTAATAATTTGCAAATAAAAAATGATTTTCACAGTTTACAAAACAATGAGTTGAAATATTTCGCAGCTGAGAAATTATTTACAGTTTTTTTAAAAGATACTTTTAAAACGTTAAAATTTTAAATCGTCGCTTAAAAAAACAAAGTACTCTAATTTTTTGTTGCCTTTGGATACAAATATATGACCAACTCTGTTAATATCAGGAACTTATATTAACATAGTTGATATTAACATAGGATCACAATAAATAAACATTAAAGCAGGTCCACTTAATCTGTTTTGTGACATAGTACTGCTATTGTGAGTTTTTATTCTCCTAAGAGTAGATAACGACCTTTTACACTCACAAGCTGTGATTGGTATTGTAGCAAGTATATAAAAAGCCTCTAAAATGTTTGGAAAGCCTCTCATATCCATAAACTTAAATGTATCTGAAATAGTAGATTGTAATTCTGTTTTTTCTTTCCGAAATTCCGACCATAACTCTAATTCAGCATTAATTGATGAGAAATGAGGAAGATCAAATTTATAAAAATTCAAAAAATTAGGAACTTTTCTTTTCATGAACAAGATCTAAAATGTTGCTTTGTTAAACTAGCCGGAATAACACATAGACCATTATAAACAATCAAGCTCTCAACATCAAACTTATTTTCTAGTTCATTGAGAAGATGATTAAGAAGAGGCAATGTAATAGAATCTTTAAAATAATCAGATATAGTATCACATATTCAATTATCTCTATGCTTTTGAACACCACATCTTCTAGATTTTTTTTCTTCAATATCAAATGTTTTAGCCAATGCAAGAGTAATTTATACCATTTGGTATGGTATGCAAATCTAATCAAATTTCAAATTTCATCGTATTATATTTTTATGGTAGTCAAATTTTGAATTTCATGCAGAATCTGGGAAATATCAAAAAATTTAATTTGAAGGGTGACAGAAATTTCATTAGCTGTTTAGTTAAAAATAAAAAATAAAAAATAAAAATTTGTTAATAATTTCATTAAAGAAGACACTTTTGAAGATGTTTTTTTATTGTACTCTTTTAAATTATGTCTTCCATTTCTTCAAAAGCAAAAAAAAACTGCAGAATAATTATTGAAAAACGCATCAAGTCCGCAAAGGTTTTGTACCCACCGAGTTCAATATGTGTCAATAAGTTTTGCTTGACCAGGAAGAAAGTGTTTTTTTAAGCAATTAGTTCTTTTAGACAAAAAGTTAAAAAAATAAGATATGTCTTTAACTTGCTCGAGTAAATTCTTTACTTACTGAAGTTGGCAACTTTTCCTTACAACTAAACTAGGTTTATGTGAGGCACAGAGGACAAATATTGCCTTAGAATTAAAAATTTTTATAAGAGATGAAACACCTTTGTATGGACCTGACATTAAAGCAGCTATGAAAATAGAAATTTGTTCTATCGTGGAACAGTTTGAAGCCTCTTCTTCAATAATAGAGAAGGTCTTACTTTTTTTAATATCATTTAATAAAATCTCTTCAATTGCATTTATACAACACTCAATAACTCGTTTTGAATGTTCTTTGAAATATATGTAGAATTTTTTTGGGCACAGTGAAGATGCTCCTTTAGAATTGAATGACCTGCATCAAATCTAAAGTTTAAAAGTTTAGTAAAATTACTCAGCCTTGTAATTTTTAAAGACTCTCCAATTTCTCCTTGATATTTTCTATCGTCTCAATGACCTCGTAGAGCCATATTATTTCGAACCAAAAATATTATAATCTAAACAATTGATGCAAGTTTTTATGTTTTTTTTTATACGCTGCTCCCTAGAAATATCTAGAGAAACTTTAATAGGAAGAATGTTATTTTTAGCTCTAGATAAAAGCATATTATGACAATGCATAGGCTTGATGTGTAATCCATCAACAGTTTTCTCATGATCGTTAAAATTTTTACAGCATTACACCGCGACACACACCATTTGAGATAATTACTTCATTTTTAACTATTTTATTACAATTACCAGGCTTACCTTTATCTGAAGTATTGTTAGAAACACTAGAAAAAAATAATTTAGACTGAATTGGCTTTTATATTTTGTTATCTGTAAGTGGAAAACTAGACTTAGAAACTTTTATTTTTTTGATACTAAGCAAACTTGTATCGCTCATAAGAACAGCTGGTCAGTTTTTTGGAAGATCTTTAACTGTCTATGATTAGACTTAAAACATAAAACACTTTTGCTTTTTGTTTTATCTAAATTGCGCCACAAAATATTTATTAGACAATTACATTTTTGGATGCAAGGCTTTATAAGAGTATTAAAAAAACCTCTTTTTAAAACCAATTTCAGAAAAAATAGATTTAATAGGTTGCTTTATATTATTAGATAATGCTATAGGCAAATGAACGATGGAAATATTTTATCAAAGCGATTTAAACACATTTTTTTTAAAAGAAGTTCAGAAATCATATTATCATTAATTATTGAAAAACTGTCAGAGTATTTAAACAAAAGAGCGATAAAAAACAAATTAGAAAGGTGAGAATATTCAGATCTATGTTGATTTAAATAGCACCAAAAATAATCACTACTTGTGTAAAAACTTATGTTTTCAAATAACTCGGTTGACGTCAGTAATCTTAGAATTGTCGAAATATGTTGAAGTATGTCGAAGTATGCTTACTGCCATTTAAAATCAAACATACTTTGCTATAAAGACAATTTCCCTCTTCAGTAGACCTGAAAGAATTAGTAAAATATATTGAAATGAAATAAGTATAATATACTGAAATGTAATAACAAAAAAAAGTATAATTAAAATAATTTTTTTTTTTTACCAATATTACATTAAAGTATATATCATAACTTCTTATTAAAAAACTAAATCACTTTTATACGTTATTTGTAAGTTTAACAAATAATTCAATTTCATACACATTAATAATGTGTATGAAACTAAATTATTTAACAATGTCATTATCAAGAATATAAATCTGTTGTAAAATGTGTTAATAATTAGTTAAACACCAATAAATAAAGTTAAAATCTAACATAGAACTAACATCTAGGTCCATTTAGTGATATAATTTTAATTAAATAAAATTTTCATAAAACTCGAAACAAACAAAAAATAACTTAATGTTGTATAAGCAAGGTTTCTTTTAGTTAAGGGTACAAAGTCCATCATATCTGTATTAAATTGGTAACACTTAATTTGTTCTTGGAGACATTAAATTTATCTCCAAAAGATCTTTAATGAGTCTAGTTTTGCACCAGCTACTAATTTTTCAGATAATTATGGATTCATGTCATCAAAATCAGATTCAATTGAAGAATTCTCTTCTAGAATTGTTTCTATAATTTCACTGTTAGGTACACCGTCTCTCAAACTATTAGACTGTAAACAATTTTTCTTCCTGATGCTTTCTTTTGACTAATTTACAAAAAAATTGTAGATTTAGTTTTAATTTTTGAATCATTGGATAAGAGAATAAATTAACAGAAGTTAAACCAGAGCTAAATTGTTTAATTAATAAAAAAGGAATATATACCTAATATTCTATGAACTAATAACAAACCTTCTTTCATCTTCTTGATCTTCCAGAATTTTTAACTTGTTTAAATCAGTTAATAAAAGCAAGCTTTTATTAACTGATTTAAAGGTCCCTCGATTTTACATTTACAACAACTATAAAAACTGAACATTTACAACTAACTGAACACCTTGAAAAATATTTTGAACAATAATATTTGATATTAGTTGGTTATTTAATAAATGTTGAAGAATATCCGAGTCTCTTGGAAGCTGTACATCTAAACAGAAAGATTTAGACATTTTTAAATAAATATTTTAGCAACAAATAATTCAATGAATCCAGTATTAATAAAATTTTTTACATGATATAGCTGGTTTTGCCTCTTTTATAATAAAAAGTTTTTTTTTATTGACCAAAGTTGTGCTTCACTTGTTTTTAATATGTTTATTGTATGTACTTATCCAAAATTATAAGAGTAATCAAAAATTATAAATTATTAAAAGTTGCACCAAAATATAATTATATTCCTTATTGGCACTCCTCAGTTGTTATTGTTTGTTTATTTTATTATTTAGATGCCTCAAGAAGACCTTACGGTCTTATCACAGAGCACCGCGGATAAGCATTTAACTTAGGTTTAATTTTATTTAGGTTTAATTTTATTTAGGTTTAATTTTATTTAGGTTTAATTTTATTTAAGTTTAATTTTATTTAGGTGCTCCAAGAAGTCTTTACGGTCTTATCAAAGAGCGAACCTTCGGTTCACTAAATTCAAGTGTTTGAGGTGAGCTGTTTCTATGTTTTTATGGTAAGACCTTTGCTTCAATTTTTTTTTTTGGTGACCTGATGCCGACCTCTAAAAGATTGAGGTCGACATATTATTGCTAAATTCAACCTTTTTTATTATTGCTCATTTTACCTAATTCCGAGGGTTGTCAAAGAGCACTGCGGATGGGCATTTAATTGGAAGTTCACGCGTCCTTCCTAACTAATGTTGAAAAACTTGCCCAGAGGTGGGGTTTGAACCATGGCTTCTTTGTTTCTGAGGCAAGTGCGCTACCACTGCGCCACGGCTGCTCATATACAGTTATCAGGAGAAGCAAGTTTAAAACTATGATTATTTGAATTGGATTGATTTAATTCAAAACACACATCTAAAATCTTGTGGAACAAAAAATGTGAAATACAGTTTATGGTAAATCTTGAAAGTAAACTTGACCAAAAAAGTAAACTCTTATTCAACGTTTGTGACAGTCATATGGCGCCTTACTTTTGCTTGTCAATTAACCGAAACTGCTTGTCAATTAACCGAAACTGCTTGTCAATTAACCGAAACTGCTTGTCAATTAACCGAAACTGCTTGTCAATTAACCGAAACTGCTTGTCAATTAACCGAAACTGCTTGTCAATTAACCGAAACTGCTTGTCAATTAACCGAAACTGCTTGTCAATTAACCGAAACTGCTTGTCAATTAACCGAAACTGCTTGTCAATTAACCGAAACTGCTACACTTTATAATCGCATTGAGAAAGGAAGATCTTTTACCAAACTTTAATTCGAGTTGGAAAATAATTTAGGTAAAAACTTTATGAGAATTGAAAAACCTGAATTTAAGAATAATATTTTTGAAATTAAATCTAACATTTTGTAGCTGGTGGTTCTTTTAAGGTAATATGTAGCCTTTTTGAACCAGACAAAGAATATTGTAAAAACAAAACTTTATATGTTACTTAAATGGTTATTGCATTTTTTGATCTAACATGATAAACAGAAGTTTAACTATTTGAGTAAATTTTATAAGGCTATAACATAGTAAACTTAGTAACATCGTAAACTTAGTTTATCACTTTTTCCTATAAAGAAACACAAGAGTATTGTTCCGAAATACCTTTAATTATTACAAATTTGTTTGGAATTGATTTAATAATAACTTATTGACTATTCATTTATATTTAAATTTATGCAAGTTATTGTATATTATGCAAGTTTAACTCCGTAAACATATTATAAAGCATCATTTTAATTTCTGCAAGTGTACCTGCAAGTGTGAGTTCCCAAAAATATGAGATCTACTATTTCTGCTTTAATGTTTGGAAGCAAATATCAGGAGGCAGCTCCACAACAATATAGCTTTTTCAAAAAGACTAAAAACTGGTCAAAAATTTTTGTTGATGCAAAACGCGTATCTGTAAATAAATCAACAGGTCAACCTAAACTTGAAATTTTATCTGATAGGTTGATAGGATCAGTAGGAGAACTGAAGAAATGCGCACGAAGTTCAGTCCTGCCGAGTTTTCGTTTGCTACGCAAATGAGTCTTCAATTTTCAGGGCACTCAAGCTCTGCAAGGATTGTGAATGATGTCACACTGTGAAGTTCATCCAAAGCAACAAAGTAAATGGAAAACTTGCATCTATCATTATTATGATATTTATATTGATGCTAAGAACTTCTTTTAACTATTAGACGCAAATTTAACGAAAGATTTATTTCAGCATTTGAGAAATCAAGTAAAAAAATAAAGGCTTAAATACAATTTATTCACCATTCTTTTAAATTGAGTTAAAGATATCGAGGTTACGCCTTAGCAACAGCAAGACACTATATCAAAGAATATTCTTGCTACAACATGCTAATAACAGTTAGTAGATTACTGATCCATGGCCCAGACATTTTTTTTTAAGGTGGTATTACTAAATGGTCAACTCTCCGTGGATGCTAAGTAAACAACCAGAAACTTGAAAAAGCAATATCGTTTGGGTTTTTCTCAAAAGTTTTTAAGAGTAAAGATTATGAAAGACGTTTTCAGGAGATTGTTAGCAACCACTAACCCCTACAATTAATCTTTACGAAAATCAACATTAAAAAAATTGAAGAATTTGTTAAAAGCTGTGCCCTCTTGGTTCCTGTGGCAAAAGATTATGAAGACTCTGATGCAGATGCTGAGAAAATAGGCTTTGAAGATAATGAAGATTCAAAAGTAGAGGCAGATGAAAATGTCTCATCGAAATGAAAAAAAAGCAGAATAATTGTTCTGAAATAAAATGTTTTTGTATATTTGATATTATCTTAATCATTTAATCCATTTTTTAGCATTTATGTTTATATTGGATCAGCCATTTTTTTTTTCTTTTTTGTTAAATTTTTAATTTGTGACCCGAAAAGAACCCTTAAAACCAATTTATGAACGATTGAAATAGTTTTTTAACATTCATATTCTCCATATTGCATCCGCCATTTTGTTTTTATTATTTTTTCTAAATCAGTAATCTCAAAACAAATTTGCCACGAAATTTCAGGTAAATCAAACAACTCTTTCATTATTTTGACGAGCTTTTTTTATATCTGACCCACAATATGCTGTGATGAAAAATAATTACAATAACTGTTGCATTTTTTTTCAACAATTCAATAAAATCCCAAAACTATTGTATTTTAATTATTTTTAATGAATTAGAATTACAACTACTGTTGTGTGTTTTGATGGGATGCGTAGCTATTGCAGTGTAGCTTATTTGTGGTATTTTATTGGTACTATTGCCAATAGTTTATTGGTACTATTATGAACTTTTTTGTTTGTTAATAATTTCTCGTTACCAAATGATATTTGTGTAGTTCTTTAGTTATTTTGTTTGTTTGTAGATAAAACAAGTCCTAAGATAACGAGCAGGCTCTACATGCTGCAGACGAAAGATACCTCTTTTCATGCTACACAAATTTTATGACCCCTTAAATTGTTAAAAGTGCACTGAAAAAAGAGGTTGTTAATGTTTCTAATATAGAGGGAGCAGATTTTCTGTCATTATCTTTACTATGAGCAGTGATGTGTAATGCGGCCGGCCGGCCTTGAGTATACCGTTATTACATACACTAATACTACATAAATATTTATTTAAATTCAAATATTTAACTTTCGGTTGCAAAGTCACTTTCATTCGCAACAAAATGAGTGTTTTTGCTTTTTTGACCCCGTGAATATTTAATATTTAAAGTTGCTTAGGGATACCACTCTAGCATCCAACAGATTTGGTATATTAAAAAGTACAAAAATCGATTAGAAAGGAACAACAACAGCACATTAAAATGTAAAATTAAAATGTCAAATTTCAATAAAGAAAATTCAAGGATTTACTATTCGTCGCATGAGAATTATAGGGTTCTATCTGCCTAGTTTTATGTTGAAAGAATTTAACAATAAAGGTTTTAATTAATAATTAATAATAAAAACAAACCACTTAAAAAATGATATATTATATATCATTTTTAACATTTTTAACAGACAACAACATAAACAACTTAACAACAACATAACGACAACTTAACAACAACATAACAACAACATAACAACAACATAACAACATAACAACAACTTAACAACAACATAAACAACTTATAATTTATAATTATAATGAATAACAGCTGTAAAATATGTATTAAATAAATATTGAAAGTTAAGTTCTCACAACATAAAAAAAGGCAGATAGAACCCTATAATTCTAATGTGACGTATTGACTTTAAACTGTTGGCTTCAAATAACGAAAAATAAATAAAAGTTATTTATATATTTGTATATATCTATAACTTTTCAAATAAATAAAATTGTTAGTTATATTAAAAAATTCTCATTAAAATTTCTTTTGGCATGATTAAAAAAATAAAATATAATTGTATTATTAAAAAATATATATATAGTGTATATATAATATATTTACACTATATTTTAAAATTTAAAAGAATATTGTTACAAGTAATTTTAACTTATTTTCTTACTTTTATACTATTTTCGTGTTACTAACAAAATTTAGTTATATTTATACATTGTCTATATTAAGAAAAGGTAAATCTCCATAAAGTTCTGTTGACAACTTTGATATGTCTAAGATATTGTTGTTAATTTATAAAATTTAATATTTAAAAGAATCTTGAAATTTTTTTTTTGGAGATTAAAATTATGGAGATTCATTTTCTTTTTCCATATAAAAAATGTAATTACGGAATACTATAGTCAACCAATTCTAAACAAAATCTTGATTGTAATATTTCGTAACAAAAAAACATAAGCTTAGTAATATAAATTTATAAAAACTATTAACATCTACTTGATAGATATTTTGCCGAACTAGATTTTTTGATCAAGTGATCAATTCTATTTTGAATAACTGAACACAAACTGTTCAAAAGCATGTTGTTACAGTTAAGGAGTAAAGTCTTCTAATGACAGGTAACGTTTTTTGCCTAGCGTACTACTGCGTTTTTGTATTTTTTTCTTTTTTGGACTGTCATCTTTAATACGAAAGGAGCCTTCAGAACATACCGTTCCATTGCGTTTTTTTGTTAGTTCTTCTGTACTGCGTTTTGAGTTCGAAACGCTCAACTGCTTATTTTTAGTGTCCTTTGAATTATATATATTATTATTTAAACCAAGACCTCTCAAGGGACCGATAACCAAAGTTTCTAAAATAAATATAACTTAAGATAACATAAAACATAAACTAGTATTTATCAACTTAAAATAGTATACAAGAAATACACGGAGAGAAAAGCATACAATCAATTAATACAACCTATATTTTGAAGCAAACTTTGTGGTTGGCACAAAAAAACCTTGTGTTAATTGTGTTTGGTTTGAAAATTGTTTGAAGGTTTTCAAGCTGAACACAAATAATGCATTTCTAATAAAAGGGTGCTTTATCCGTACTTTACGTACTATATTTTATTTTATTTATTATTATTATTACTATATATTATTACTATACATTACGTACTATATATTACGTACTATCCGTACTAAAACCGTACTTTATCCACAGTTTAGCAGTTAACCAAAATCTTCATCTAGAGCTATGCATCAGCGACTAGACTCTTAAAGAGTATCATAATCACGATTAACACTTTCTCTGGCCTAACCTTCTTGGCCTAACCTTGCTTTATTAAATTGTACTAATACAGTGATTTTATTTTTTTAAGAAAATTATTTTATATAAAGATTATTATATCAGATTTTATTGCATAAAAAGTGAGGTTTTTTAACTTATAATAAAAGAACTAATTTTTATATAATTTCGCTTTTATTAGAAACCAACATGACATACTTTTGAAAATATTTTTTTTGAAAATATTAGGGACTCCGATTCTTTATAACCGAGGAGGATTGAGGAGGAGCGTCCAGATATTGTTTGATTTTAACTTTTTTAGGACTTTATACTTTTGTGCCATACTGTTCAACATGAAATCAGAAGCGTTGCATTTTTCAAAATATTTTACAAAAATTTTTCGAAAAATGCACAAGTTGTTGTAATGATCAAAAAGTTCTGACCACCAAATGTTTACAGCAAAAAACCATTTTGTTCGTAAAAGTTTGTCAAAATAGTTAACCTAATTTAAATATATACATAAATACTATAAAAGATTTTTAACAATAAACATAGATCACATATAAAAATAAAGTCAAAAAATTTGATATTACCTCGAAGAACCTGCTCCTTAGTAAGATTTTTTTGGTGACTTCCGTAACTGTGCATTGTGTTTGTATGTGAATCAGAGATCAGATCTGTCACACTTGACGATCGAGACGTTTTATAATATGAACTAGAATAGTCACTATCTGAATCATAATTAATGTCATCACAGTTATTTTGAAGCCATCTTGAAACATGGTCTCGAGAGTTTTCTCCAAATAATCGAGAATGCAACATTCTATCATCATTTTCAAAGGTTTCAGTCATTGTAGAAACGTCACTTTGTATGGTTTTTTTTTAAACTATCTATTGAATTTACCAAACCACTTTCATGGCCACACTCTTCACAGTTTATATTCGAGCTTTTTTGATTTACTTTTATAGTACCAAAGCTCTCATTTAAAGAATGTGAATCATTATGAGGCAATTCTAAAATAATTGTTTCTGCCGAGTCAGTAATATTAGAGTTTGATATCTCTAGAACATGATGTGGACTGTCATTCAAGTTATTTTTCAGCTTTTTCACCTCATCAAATCTATAAAAAAATTTAAGACTAAAATTAAAATAATAAAATTTGATGTTTTAAATTATATTTCAATGTAATTAACCTATTTATTTTATTTTTATTGCTATTTTCATGGCTTATCTTGTTGTTTTTTTTTAAATTTATTTAACTGTAATGACTCTATTTTTCAATAACATAGTTAGAAAATAAAATTACAAATTCCATACAATACATGGAACCCTACTAAAGTCAAAATAAAAGTAAATAAATAAAAATTAGTACCCTTAGCAGCTTTAGTAAAATAAAATTTTCAAGAACTATTTCAAAAAACTCTTTAAGGTATCTTTTTATAACTGTAATATAAACTTTACAAAATATTTTCAAACATTAAACCTATGTTTTAGGAATATAACCGCCAGTTATACTCACCAGGTTATACCCACCAGTTATACTGCCAATTATACCCACCAGGTTATTATTAGGTAAATGCAAAAAAAAATTAGGCAAAACTAATTCTGCCATTTTAATCAAATACATGAAGCAATTTGTTGATTATAAATTATTTTAAAATAAAAGTTTTAAGTCTTATATAAAGTATTTTTGAAACCATTTAAAAATAAAAGACTGAACAATTTTTAAAATATTAATATCTCAGTTGAAATATAAAACCACTTGCTTTACAATCTGATTTAATTATATGTATATTATTTAAAATATAAATAAGATAAAAATAAATTAAGAAACAAAGATTTTTTTTTTTAATTAATTTGTAAACATTTTAAAAACTCTTTTATAATAAAATGCTTTAATAAACAAAGCTCACAAGTCACTGTAAAAATTCCTGAAATGTTTAAAAAATCAAAAAAAAGATTATCCAAAAAGTTTCTTAATTTTTAAAATAAACTTAAAAGTAACCATAGTAACCACAATAAAAAAACCAGTGAGTGTAACAAAACCAAGCATAGAGAGAATGCTGCTTTAAATCTATACTATGCCAAGATTCTGAAAAACCAAAATGATCTTGTTAATTTTGGTCCACACTTAGTACCTTCTTTGAAATAATTACCTAGATACATTCTTTGAAATAAATGCATAGATATTTTTGCAACAACAGCAGCTTTTACTTTGAAATTAACATAGAAGAACAGAATTGAAAATGTGCAGGATTTGAGATAAAAAGTTTTAAAGAACTGGAAAAAAAATAAGCTTCAATTTAAGAGGAGACAATTTACTTTCTCTACTCATAGAATCAATACAGAATCTCGCTATTATCCCACCTCTTACAACTAACTTAAAGCTGACTGGGATTCTTTCCGTGATTTTCTTCATGATAGCCCTTGGGTTTAAATCTTTCATTTTCCTGCTGACAAATGTGCTTCTTATGCAATATCTTGGATTCAGGTTGGCATGGAATCTTTTATTCCCTCTTGACAATTCCAAGTCAAGCTTCACTCATCTCCATGGTTGTTGCTGCAATTTCCTATCATAACCATTACTTTCATATCTATCACCAAAACAATTCTTTAGAAAAAAAATGTCTATTGTTTGCTAAGAACTTTTCATCAATCTCATTTCTTGATTCCATTAATCACATCCTACTTGATATAGCCGACAAACAGGTTGATCCATTGCTTGACATTAGCATCACTCCAGCTTCTGTATCTAAAGTGATTTCCTGCTTAGACTCTTCTACAACTTGCGGCCTACATAACAAACCTGTTATAGCCTTGCAGAAGTGTTCTCCAGAGCTGTTGTCTATACTTTCAAAACTATTTAACAAGTTCTTATCAGAGTATTTTTTTCCAGCCTACTGGAAAACTGCTTCTGTTATCACTATTTTCAAAAATTCTGGAGAGAGATCTGACTCGTTTAATTACCACCCTATTAGTCTTCTTCCTATCCACTTAATCTCTCATCTTGGATCTAATAACTTTAATATGGATTTTGATCTTCTCTTTGCTGATTTGTTAACTAATAATTAATAACTGATAGTTTATTCAATTATTAGTTAACAGGATGTTAAAGCTATCACTCTCAATATTTCTAAAGCCTTAGATAAAGTTTAGCATGATGGTCTTCTCGATAAGCTTTCTTCTTACAGTGTATCAGGTAACATTTTTGTAAGACTATTGAATCCTTACTTACCAACCGTAGTATAAAAGTTGACTTTGATGGACAGCATACTTCTTTAGTTCCTGTAACTTAAAGTGTTCCTAAAGGTTCTATTCTTGGCCCTATACTGTTTTTAATTTACACTAATGATCTCCCAGAAATTTTCATATCTAAGGTGGCATTGTTGGCTGATGATACTACCATTAATTCTTGCCTTGATAAGAAACCAACACTTTCTGATTGCTTGGAGGAAACATTTAAGCTTAAAAAGGATCTCACTTCTGCTACAGAATGGGGCTCTCAGTGAGTGGTGAACTTCAACTTAGATAATACTCAATATATTTCAGCTAATCATTATCTCGATAATGATTAGCTGAAATATATATAAGGGTAGATGACTCATCTACAAAGGGTAGATGAGTCATCTACCCTTTGTCTTCTAGGATTAACTCTTACTTCCAATCTTTTTTGGAAACCATATATAAAATTATAGATTTGATTTAAGGTTGCATCTCTTCATTGTGCACACCACTATAAATTTCAAATCCATCCCTATATGGAATTATGTGGCTATATCTGGAGCAAATCTTTTAGATATGGTGCAAAAACACACTGTAAACATTATTGGGCCTGCTCTTGCAGCCAAACTTCAATCCTTGTCACATCATCATTATTTTGCTTCTCTTTTTATTTTCTATAAATACTATAATGGGCATTGCTCTAAAGAGCTAGCGTCTTTTGTGCCATCTACAAAAACTTATTCTCATGTTACTTGTCACTCAAATAAGTCTCATCCTTTTACTGTGACTGTTCTCAAGTGTTCCAAAAATTCTTATTCATCTAGTTCTTTTCCTCGAATATCAGTTCTTTGGAATTCACTCACTTCTTCTTGTTTTCCTGATTCATATAACTTGCAATCTTAAATTCATCTGTTAACCGCTATCTTGCTTTGTAAACTTTATCTTTTCTCTTCTAATAACTTCCAATTCTAATAGTGGTTCCTTGTAGCCTTGTTGGTGATTAAAAATGTGATTAAAAAATAAAATAAAGAGAATAGAAAGAAGCTTTTAAGAAAAAAGGAAAACAAACAAGATATATTTGATAATGGTTTTGTAATAACACAATAAAGCTTTAGATAAAATTCTCAAAAAAAATTGGTCAAAAATTAGTTCTAAGTGTTTATTAGTTTAACTTTTGAAATCACTTTTTATAAATTTATATTTTTTTAAATTTTAAACATTTTTACATATTATATTTGCATTGTTTAAACAAAAAAATATATTTTTTTTTTTATAGCCTCGTTAAGTTTTTTCTTGAGCTAAAAGTAAAACCTTCTCTTGGGCTAAAAGTAAAACTTGATAACTTTTTTTATTTATTCCGAAAAATACTAAATACTTATAACTATTTTAATCTTTCTTAAATTTCCACTATGAGACATTTAACTTGATTTGTAATAATTTTAAATTCAGTTTTAAATAATAAATTCTTATAGTTCCAGTTTTGAAGAGTAAACTATATTACAAATATATAATTAGCCAGCCATTATAAAAAAAAGTTAACTGCAATTTTTTGTTTTTAAAAAAAAAAAAAATTCATATAATGCTTAACTTGAATTATAAAATTGCTCAAAAATTAAAAAACCACAAAAGTTTGTACCTTATTTTTTTTTGTTTAAAAGAGAAACATTTTTGTGTACGTTTTTACAAGATCATATTCAAAAATCACATTAAATATTTTTGTGTACATTTGTACATAAACATACTCAAAAATCACATTAAATATTTTGGTTTATGTTTGTACACAAACATACACAGGAATCCCTTAATAAATATAAACCCCATTACTTATTGATCTAAAATTGTATGATATGTACAAAATTAAAAAATATCAGCAAATAAGGATAATCAGCTAGAAACGTCATAAAAATTTAAACAGAAGGATTTATATACTTTTTTAAAAAGCTTAAAAAAAAAAAAAAAAAATTTTCAACTCAATACAAAGGTATTACTTAATATCAATTATATCATCTTTCCCTAATGTTTTGATTGCAGCATTCTTTATTAACACACTTTCTACAACAGCTGTGACAAGTCCATCTGGTATCACTAACAAGTCATCTCTGGAATAAGAATTTGTAACAGAAGTAGGAGCAGAATCATCTTCGTGAATTGTGTTCATCATTTGGTTAAAATTGGTTAAGTGACATGAATTGTTTTTAAACAAGCAATTAGCTGAGGACTGCTGACTCATAGCTGATGAATTTCGTTGAAGCTAGATTTTAATGGGTTAAATAAAAAAGATTAAGTATAAATAAAAATAATAAGTAACAAATTTCAAATATTTTTATATATAATAAAAAAATAAACAAACCAAACACAGTTGTAAATAGACACTTACGATTGTAGATGTGCATGTTGAAGTTCTTTCAAAGTGCATAGAATTAGTTTTATTGCTAGCTCCTGAAGACATTCTGCGCCTTTCATAATATGAAAGGGTATTGCGTTTGCGATCACTTCTTGGGTCACAAGTCAAGAAACGATACCAGGCTTTGCGAGCATTTGGCTGAGCAACAGTGTAAAACAAAAAAATTGCAAAACCCTAAATAGTAGTGGAAATTAAAAATCAGAACTATGAATTTAAATGTATAAAAAATACAATTTGAAAATGAAATTTTGTTTATTAATTTAAAAAAATATTGAAAAATGTTACGTTATTTAAAATGATGACTATTTTAATATCTAATCAATATTATATCATAATTATATCAGGGACTATTCTAGACCATTTTTGACAGTGTCAACTGTATTTTGGTGCCACCCAGATTTGGAAATTGAAGACTTTTTTTTTTTTACAGCGAATATTTTTTTTTGCAAAAGAATGCCCACATATAACAAATTTACTTACGAATAGGCGTTGGCACGGTAATTCTATAAAAAGCTTAATATAAATTTTATTCAAAATAAAAAACTTTTTAATTCAACTATACATTAACATAGTATAACATAAAGATGGAAAGAAATAAAAAATAAAAAGACCTGTAAAGCATTACAAGAAGCAAACAAGTAACTAAACTCCAATCTGGCATTGGATGCAGTTCCAAAACCAAATCCCCATGTTAACCCCATAAGAATCATAATTCCAAAAGCACGCTTTATTCTTGTTAGACTAATTTTAACTGTTGAAACTTCAGTATTAGAATTTGGTCTGGTACTTAGGTGATACATAATTGTTAAAAATATCAGCAAATTAATAGTTATAATTAACCCTATGGGAGCTAGATAAGCAAAATATAAAGGATAACCAGTAAGATGACAGCTAAGAAAAAAAAAAAGAAGTAATAAATAAACTACTATTTATTAATCATCATCATCATCACCATCACAATTGTCACCACCACCACCACCACCACCACCACCATCATCACTATCGTCATCATCACCACCACCACCACCATCATCACCATCATCATCATCATCATCATCATCATCATCATCATCATCATCATCATCATCATCATCATCATCATCATCATCATCATTATCATCATCATCATCAGTAGCATCATCATCATCATCATTATCATCATCATTATCATCATCATTATCATCATCATCGTCATCATCATAAGCAGCAGCAGCATCATCATCAGTAGCATCATCATCATAAATAGTAAAAATTTACTTACAAATGTTTTCCTTTATAACTATTCCAGCTTGTAGCAAAAGTGATAACAACGATAACCAACGGTATACCTAACATGATTTAAAATAGTAATAAATAAAAAGTATGATAGCAACATAGTAATGACTAAATAAGTAACACTATTTCATTGTGTTAATATAAGTCTTGTTTTTCAAACCTTTTATTATTACTTGTTATTTATTACTTTACTTCTTTTAAAATATAAGTTTAAATCTTAAAAGGGAGATCCTTATACACATTCACATGCTTTAGAAGTAGAACACTAATTTTGTAAGCAAAAATTATTTGAAATTTTATTATTTTAAATAACTATAATGCTAAACTTTCCATCTTTTGATTATTATTCATTGACTTGTTTATTATTTCCTGCTTTTTGCACAAAAAAACACTATATATTCCTTTATCAAGATGTATCCAGATTGTAGGAAGTAGGCGGATTACCCGGATAATCGGATATCCATATTGGAAACCCTAGTCAGAGCCATAAGTTTGAGAGTGGATTGTCAAACAACTTAATTTCTTAGACTTTAATGCAAAATTTTTTTTAAGCTTTTACATTAAAAAAAATCAATTATTGTAGAATGTCTTCTATAAGCTTGTAAACCTCGTCAATGCCATTCATATGTAAAAGAGTTGAGTCATTTCTAAAGTTATATAGCTTTCTTTATGCAGTCTCTTTGATACCATAATTTTTACAAAAAAAGAACAATTTACATAACTTACATAATTTAACTGTTTTTCAAAATCTAAAGGATTACAAATTTAAAAAAAATGTTTGGTGATTTAACTTTTTACGCATCAGAAATTATGAAAGTTTAATTTACAGAAAGAATCTTACTAATGGATCTTACTGATGTCAAGCATCATGGGACGTATTGTCTTATTGACAGATCTGAAAAATCCATTCGAAGTGCAGGATTTTCAAACTATAGAGATAGGAATTGTAAAAGTTAAACATAATTAGTTCTTAAAAATATTTCACAGTGACTTTGCATTTAATTGAATTAAGGAAATTCAAATTGCAGAGATTGTACTGTAGCATTAAAAATAGCATTTTTAACTATCGAGGTAGTTTGTATTGTGAAGATAATATTTTTTAAATGTGAATATAATAGTGTTTTAAAATAAATTTAAAAAATGACAATGCATTTTAAAGATTGCAACACATTTTAGACAAAAGTTTTTTATCATACTCTATTTATAACTTTTAATAAAATAATTATTGTCAAAAATTTTTACTTAAAAGTTCTTAAATTATTTATTCAAATATTTATTCAGGGTATGAAGTGTAATGTTACCAAGGACGACTGTTGCTGTTTAAGTTTTTATTCCCCACTACCACACCAACCACCCTCCCCTTCTCCCTCCTTAAAAAAAAAAAAAATTTTAAAAGCATCAATAAAACAAACATTTTTTTGCAACAACTTTTTTTTTTCTAAAACATTTTACCCCATGCGACAGCTGCAGTTTTGAAAATATCACCATCTTCTCTTGGTGGCCACACTTTAACAAAAGCATAATACATAAACAAAGCTTCCATCAGCATCCACATAAAAACAACTAAGGTAAAGTAATGCAGTATGATAGCAACACTAACACAAACAGTAGGTCTGTAAACTTGTTCAAAACCAGTCATAAATGTAAGCATGACAATCATCATTGCTCCACATAACTGCACTAAAACTTTAGCAGCCAGTTCTTTTAACAGTTGACTATAATGAGAATTTTACACAAAATTGACATAAGTCTGAAATGCTGAATATAATTTATCTTATAAATATAATTAATATAAATATATATTATAAATATTTTATACAAATAGTTGATCAAGTAGTAATGAATAACCTGAACAAAAGATAAGTTAACAGAGTTAAAAAAAGTCCAACCATTGATAAGAAACATCCAACAATGCTAATCCAAGTGAGCACAACTTTATGGAACCCACAAACACGACTTGTATCAGCATAAAAATCCTGCATAAATATAAATTTATTGTATAAAATATTAGGAAAAAAAACAACTTTTTGATGGTAACTATATATATATATATATATATATATATATATATATATATATATATATATATATATATATATATATATATATATATATATATATATATATATATATATATATATATATATATATATATATATATATATATATATATAAACAAAATAAAACCAAACCATCACTGCAGCAAAATTTGTCAGATGATTGCAATGACATGTAATGGAGTGATTAACAATGCTGTGGACTTTACATCCTTCTTTTGACCACCCTCCTTTGTTTTCATTTGCCTTGAAATCCCAATAAACACAAGCACTGGCTTTAAGATCCATCTAAACATAGTATAACAATTTACTAAAAAGTATACAATTTCGGTAACATAATTAAAAAAAAATTGACATTTAAAAGTGAACATTATGACATAATTAATAGTGAGTATTATTTTATAATTATAATAGCTTAACTATGTCATAAACAATGAAGCAAATTAGATTTTGTTCTATCTATTTAAAAAACTTTAATTCTCAAAATTTTCTATATTTTAATTTTGTAACAATAGTTCTGCCTGTTGCCATGACTATCAAAAAACCATTTTGGGAGGGCAAAAAACAGGTATATCAAACTCAGTCGGTAGTTTACTATTGACCACTCTTTATGTGCTAAAAAAAATTTTTTTTTTTGCTTTTTTTTGTTTCCTGATGCTAATTTAAAACACCAAGAAGTATCTAAAATATATAAGAAGTTAAAAAAAAGTCTCTTCTGACAGAAGTTTCTGTTACTTCTGGTACAGAAAGCAAAACTCAGAGAGTTTTGCTTTCTGTACCAGAAATAACAGAAACTTCTGTACCAGAAGTAACAGAAACTTCTTTCTGTTACCAGAAGTAACAGAAAGAGAGCAGCACCATGGAAAGGTAGAAAAAAAATGAAGAAAAAAAAAACATAAAGAAAAAACAGGGAGACTGGGATGATTTTTAAAAAGAAATGGTTACAATAGTAATTTTTTGGTCAATATTCAGAAAGTTTAATTTGGTTTTGATGGTAAGCTTATTTTTTTATGAATTTATTTTTCAATAGATAAAAGACTTTGCTTTTTAATGTCTAGTCTCTGGTTGGAAAACAAAAAAATCAAAGAAACCATTGAACCATAGAAATGCATTTGCACATTTTATATTGAAGTACTTTTTGGTAGCCTTGCATCATCTACGTAGTTTATGTAACTTTGTTTTTCATCTATTGCTTGAGCTTTTAAAAATTATAAATGACAAAACGAGGTAAGTAGAAACAATGCATTAGGCATTGACACAGTTGTTTTCAGTATAATTGATTTTTTCATTGTTTCTTGTAAGCTTGAGGAGCCCCTTTTTTGCAATGAGTGTAGATTTAATGTTGTTCAAAGAAAATTGAAATTTTTCTTTAAACAACATTAAATCTACACTCATTGCAGTTCCAAATATGTGAAGTCATAAACTATGGCTTCATTGTATTGTTTCTTGTAATTGTTAAAATATTTTTCAATTATATTGGTGAAGATGATGCTCTGTTTGATGCAATGTTATCTTCTCTGCATACTGCTTATTCTTCTCTTTAAAATTATATTAACACCGTAACGAAGGTTTGCCATTTTTGAATAAATGCTCTTGTTTTGTGTTTTTTTGAATCCCAATCACTAAGGCCTTGAATTAAATAAATCAATAGCTTTTCTGTTCCAACTGATAAAGTTGTTGATCTTCCGCTTCCATGACTTGCATTTTTACTTCATTGACTTGCATTTTTACTTTTAATTCTGTCAATCAATATTAATTTTGGTACTAGAGTGCACACTTTCTTAATGATATTCCTTGCATTCACACTTTCTTAATGATATTCCTTGCATTGCATTTGCATTGTTTCATTTATTTTTTGCTGTAGTTGTAGTTTTTCAACATTTTGTTCATAGTGATAGTTTTTTATTTTTTATATCAGTTTGCAGGAGATAAGATTTGTATTAGCATATTAAAAGAGAAAAATGCCGTTTTTTTATAAAATTAAAAAGAATTTAAAGAAGTAGTATTTTAAATCATTATTTTATTAAATACAGAAGTAATATATATTAAATACAGAAGTAATATTTATTAAATACAAAAGTAATTTTTTTTTTAATGTCAATTCCTCTCTCTAAGGCCAAGAAGACCACTACAGTCAAAGAGGCTACTTTAGTTCAGGTTACAACCCTCTCTCAACTCAATAACTCTGAAACACAAACCTTGACCAAAAAGACCGCTGCACCATCAAATAGTTGCGCATGGTACTACCAGGGATGTGATGGGGATAGAACTCTGAATTAAAGAAGTAAACACTTATTAATTACTTCTTGTCACAAATAATCAATTATTGTTTATTAATTATTGACCAACTTTTATAGACTATTTAGAATAATTTGAGTAGAATATTACCATTTTTAGTTTTTATCAATAAACTTCCTTATTTTACAACATAATAAAATAAAAATATTACCATTAGATTCAAAATAAGAAAACTTATTAAACAGTATTTTTCAAAATTTTAAAACTAGTTTATTATTTAAAATCTAGTACGTTTCGAAATTAGTAAATATGGTTTTTTTCAAATTAATGCACCAAAAAATCATTTTACTCTCATAAAAAATGTCATCAAAAATTTTTTTTTTTTTACATGTTCTGATATATATAGTCCTACTATTGAATTTACATGATATTTCTTAAAACTATTTGTTTAAATAAAGTTTAAATAAAATTGACAGACTTTTGGGTTACTGAAAATGATGACCCAAAATAACTAACCCTACATAATGAAAAAAAAAAGGAAGAATGAAAAATGAAAGAACACATAGTGAAAGGGAGACTGAAAAATGATAAAAATGGTTGTATAGTTTTAAAAAAAAAATTTTTTGAACCTCTGACTCCCTTCTACTTTTTTTTTATCAAAATGTCAAAATTATAAAGTAAATTAGTTGCCAAGAAATTAAATACATCACATTTAAAAATGTGTATTTAACTGTTGTTGTCAAACTAATATTATTAACTATAATTTATATTAACAATAATTTTAATGAATACTAATTGAAACAAATTTTTGTCTTACACTTCCATTTGCTCTAAATTTCAAAATTACAGGTGTTGATAAATTTTTTAATTCTGAACCCGCAACTTCGCCAGAGACCACAGGAGTATAAACTCTTTCTCTTACCACAGTAAAACCATTTACACACTGTTCTTCAACGATACTCGGTTGACTGAAAAACTTATTTTTTTTGTAATACACAAAGTAAACAGACTCCATTGTATTGTTTTTAGGTAGAGCCTAAAAAGAAAAGAAGGTCAATTATGGAATTCATTAATGTAAGTATACAAATATTTAAGTTCAACAAAAATATATACATATATTTTTATTTATTACTTTAATTTAGAATTCTTACATACCTATCTAATAAAATATAAACATATTTTATACATAAGATCTAAAAGATCATTAAGAATTCAATCAAACTCAAAATTTTTATTTTTATCAAACCATGTCATTTAAAACTTGTTAACAATTATATAAGCAAATTTAAATCTAGGCTTTAACAAGCACGTGTGAAAAATTACAAAGTAACAGAAAATGATGGTTCATTAGATTCTTTAAAACTTTTCAAGTAAAGCTAAAAATAAAGCCATTAAACAACTCAAGAGCTTAGATTTTTTTAAATTAACAAATCTTTGGAATGCTTATTTGATAGATTTAAAATGAAATGATAAACCTGGAAATAAAACAAGGAACACCAACAGTAACTAGATTTAGTAGTAAAAACATGATTGCAAAGAATAATGAGGGAAACTTAATCAAGCATTACATTAAAGCTGTTAAGACACCAAAACAAACAAAAGTATATATTGGCAGGACTAAAAAGAAAATTATCTCAAGCAATTCTACAACAACAACAACAAGATATTTATTTTCCTTTTCAAAATTTACATATAATCATATAATAATAACAATAATAATAATAATATAATCTATAATAATAAAAACAATATAATTATAATAAAATTATAATAACTAATAATAATAAATATAAATAGTTATTTAAAAAAGGTGTCACTCAAACAGAAGCCTGATCAAAGGAGTGATACCAAATAATTATAACAATAATAATTAAATAATAATAATATTATCTATAATGATACAAACAATATAATTATAATTGAATAATATACAAACAATATAATTATATAATATAACTAATAAGAATAAATATAAATATAAATAATTATTTGAAAAGGAAGGTGTCACTCAAACAGAAGCTTGATCAAAAGAGTGACACCAGTAAACAAAAGAGTGACACCAGTAAATCAAAGGAGTGACACCAATAGAGAACTACAATGAGATAACAAAAAAGGAAAAAGGACTAATACTTGGTTAAGGCTAAGACTTAAGCAGAATAAATTTTTAAGCGCTTTTAAATTTGTTAAATTTTTAGTTTTACTGGAAAAAGAGTTTAATTTAGCATTAACTTTTACATGTTTCTCAAGAGAAGAATAAACTATTCGATTTTTGTGGTACAATATATACATTAACATTGTAAATATTTTAAGATGCTTTTGTTGTTTTGATTAAATGAAATTTGAAATCTAATTTTTTTATTTTGTAAAGTGCATCTAAAAGGCTTAAATGGGCTATGACCTGAATTTTCACCTTTTGCTTCATGACTTATAGCACTTTGTTCATATTTAATAAAAAATTCTACTTTTACAAGACAAATAGTCTTAAATGATATAAAACATGATGGTCTCTTTGCCCAACAGTCCTGGTTGACATAACTTTGAAAAACTATTTTTTTGATAATATTTGATAAATAAATATTTATGTCTTGAGGAACCTCTAAAAAAAATTTTATTTAAAAGTTTTTTAAGAGGTTCCTCAAGACATAAATATTTATTTATGTCTTGAGGAACCTCTAAAAAAAATTTTGACCCAATTTTGTTTTATATATATAGTATATATTTAGAAGTGAAAAAAATTAGTTTTTTCAAAAAATTCTTTTATGAGTAACTTTAATTTTTAGTGATTTTTGTGAGTCAATTTAACTTTTAGCGTTTGATAGGGTGAGTTTTATGAGTCACCCTATATACACCCACATAAAATTCACCCTACTACGTAAGTTTATGAGCTCAAAATAAAAATTTGGAGTTGTACAACAAAGTTTTCCTAATATGAGGTAAGTTACCTTCGCTATGATTTAGGAGCCTCACCTAATCCAATATAGGATCAGTTTGATATTGTGACTAGGATGTATTGATAAAAACATACTTATTTATAAATTATGACATTAATAAAGAATATTTATTATGTTTTGCAAATATATAAGTGATAACAGTAAATAAAAACCTCAATAGGAATAGTTATTTCTGCAATGGAAGACTCAGCAAACTTGATACCTTCTTCTAATTCAAGCTTTTTTATAAAAACTTTGCGAACAACAACATTTTCAGAACTCTCTTGAAGAAATTTCTCCTTCACATCAACTGTTTCCAACCAATTTTCTAAAACTTTGACATACCTAAAACATTTAAATTTAGTTTAATAAAATAAAAAATAAAAACAATAACTAAACACAATAACAACAATAAAAAATAATAGATTTTAAAATAAACAACATTAGTGACTTATCTTTTATATTTCTAGACAAAATGCTTTATATTTAATGTAGCAAAAACCATACCAAATGTTTTTTTACTATAAAAGTGTTCAGCTAACTTACATAATAGTAACTTTCATATAATTTAATCTGTAAAATCTATATTATAAACATTATAACAAATTTTAACTTAAATTTTTTTGTTTTGTTTTGTCTGCTTTAGCTGATACAAATTAGGCAGGTGTCAAATGATTCTGACCTCATAAAAAATATTCTCTGGTGAATAATATTGATTTATTGATTTAAATTGATTTTTTTTTAAACATCTTCACTTCAAACTATTAGGGTTGGAAGTTACTGGAAGAGAAAATATGAAGTTTATAAAGGAAGGCAATGATTAGCAGACAACTTAAAAGATTGCAAATTATATGAATCAGGAAAACAAGATGCAGGGAGCGAATTCTAAAGAACTGATAATCGAGGAAAAAAACTAGACAAATAAGAATTGGAGTACTTAGGAATAGTAACAGAAAAAGGATGAGAATAAATTGAATGACGAGTAACACGAGAATGAGTTTAGTAGATAGCACAAGAGACACTAGCTCTTTAGAGGAGTGTCCATTACAGTATTTATAGAAAAGAGATAGAGAAGAAAAATTACGACTATGTGATAATGGTTGAAGGTTGGCTGCAAAAGCAGATCAAACTATGTTTACAATCCATTTTTGCATCTTCTCTAAAAAAGAAAGGATTGCTCTAAAAAAGAAAGGATTGCTCTAAAAAAGAAAGGATTTCTCTAAAAAAGAAAGGATTGCTCTAAAAAAGAAAGGATTGCTCTAAAAAAGAAAGGAATGCTCTAAAAAAGAAAGGATTGCTCTAAAAAAGATAAAAAATTGATAAAAAAGAAAGGCTCTAGATATAGCAACAGTATTCCATACGACGAATTTGAGATTTATAGTGATAAAAAATAGAATCTGAAGTAAGAAAGTACCAAGCACGATAAAGAGATGCAAGAAGGGTAACATTAAGAAGGGTAGATGACTTATCTAATATATTACATAACTGTAGGAAGATCTAGTTTTATCTGAGTTAAAGTTCACTAGCCACTGAGAGCCCCATGCTGTAGCAAAAGTGAAATCCTTTTTAAACTCAAATGCTACCTCCAAACAATCAGAGAGTATTGGCTTCTTATCAAAAAAAAAAAAATGGTAGCCAACGATGCCACCTTAGATGTGAGAATTTTAAGGAGATCGTTAATGTAAATTAAAAAAACTTTAAGAGCAAGGATAAAACCTTGAGGAACCCTCTAAAGATACAGAAATGATGAAGAATGCTGTCCATCAACCATCTGTCCATCGAGCACAATTTTTATATTACAATTGTTAAGGAACCTGATACCTGATACACTGTAAGAAGAGGTTTTATGGAGAAAGCCAGCATGCCAAACTTTATCAAAAGCTTTAGAAATGTCAAGAGTGATAGCCTTAACCTCTCCACATCAATCTAATGCACAATAAAACTTATCAGTAATTACCGTTAATAAATTAGCAGATAGAAATCCATATTGATGATTAGAAAGTAATTTGTTGGATTCAAGATGATAGATTAAGTGTTTGTTAAATAAACACTCAAAAACCGTGCTTTTATTTGTAAGAAAACTAATGGAACAGTGTGAGACAAGTCAGGTCACTATCCAGAATTTTTGAAAATAGGAATAACAGATATCGCTTTCCAGCAGGCTGGGAAACAAGACTCTGATAGACACTTAGTAAAAAGGTTTGAAAGAATAGAAAACAGTTCCCAAGAACACTTTGCAAGACTATAACAATGTTACTTGGACTAAAAGCTCCAGAAGGGTCTAAACATGAAATCACTTTAAATACAGAAACTGGAGTGATACAAATGTCTAGCTATGGATCAACCTGTTTTTTGACTATATTAGGTAGGATGTGATTAGTAGTATCAAGAAATGAGATTGATGAAATGTTCTTAGCAAACATTCTTATCTTTATCTTTAGGTGAGGTAACAGCTTTATCTTTAGGTGAGGTAACATGCATGAGAGGTGGAACAACAGATTTGCCTTTTTTATAGAAATTTTAAGATTCTACAGAAGTCTTAAGAGCATAATTTTATAGATAAAACACAAAAGTTTGTGATTCATTAAAAAAAATCTTTTTACAATGGTTTCTAGAAATAGTAAATAGAAGTCTTTTTTCTGGATAACTGTTTTGGTGATAGATATGGAAGTAATGGTAACAATTGGGAATTGCAGCAGCACTTTGAGAAGAAAACCATGGAGAAGAGTAAGGCTTGACTAAGAATCATCGAGATGGAATAAAAGATGTGAGCCTGAATCCAAAAAGTTACATAAGCATATTTTTCTGCATGAAGATGAAAGATTTCTACCCAAGGATCATCACAAAGAAAATCAGGGAAAGAGTCCCAGTCAGCTTTAAGGTAGTTGTAAGAGGTACAATGATAGGGGGATTCTGATGATGAAGAAAACCATGATCAGAACCACATAGGGATGAATGTGGAAAAAACTGAGCACTGAATAGGATTAGAAACAAGACATAAGCTGAGTAGAAAAGGCAAACAATTCCAATCGTCTGGAAAACGATATGGAAAGTTGAATATTTGTTTTAGAGATAGAGAAAGGCAAAAGTTGTTGGTCTTAACACCTGCAGAATCACTGACTATATATAATAGAGAATAAAATGAGCAACAATGAGCATTAAAGTCACCAACAACAACGATATTGGCTGAAGGATAAATAGAAAGGGCTCGGTCAATTTGATCAGAAATAACAATAAATATAGTGCAGTCTTGAGATGTGAGAGTGATATAGAACAAAGAGAAAAGTGATAAAAGAACAAAGAGAGAGTGATAAAGAACAAAGAGAAAAATGAGAGTGGAGTGGTGCAAAAGGAAAGCACACAAAAAACTAGTCTGTGGATTCAAACCTAGTTTCCCAATAAATGGGTAAATTTTTATGAGTGCAAATGCCCAGCCCAAGCATGTGACTATTGGAGTCTTTAAAAATTAAAGGAAGATAACCATCAACAAGATCACAAGATTAGATAGCTGAACTCATATTAGTCTCACAAAGAGCAAGTAAATCTGGTAAACTTTGCAAGAGATAGATTCAACAGAAGAAAATTTACTTTAAAAGCCAAAAATACTAGTGAATGATACGTTTAGAAAACTTTGTGATGACGAAGGTATAAATTTAGAGAAATAACTGAGCAACATTTTAATGTTGTTTAAATGTTAAAACAAATAAATAAATAGAAAGCACATTAAGTTTTATCAATTTATAAAAAACCGAAAATATGACTTAAGAGTTTTAATTAAATATGTTTTTGCTTCTGTTTTTTTTTTCAATCCTTTTATGTTTTAAAACATGTAAGGAGTGATGCTGCATCAACTGACAAATGGACAAAACATGAGAGGAGAAGGGTGATTCAAAAAACAATATTTTTGAAAAATATCAGCAGCTCTCACTTTAATGTGTTGATAAAAAAAAAATTATAACTAAAAAACTTAAAAACACAAATTTTTTATTTTTAGCTGAAAAAATTCATTTTTTAGGCAGTAAAATTTAAAATAATATTTTCTTTCTAAAGTGATGATTTTTTTTGAAATTTTTCGCTTCATTTGAGACTCAACAAGATATACTTTTGAAAAACTTTTTTTTATCAATATTAGGGACCCATTAAATGTTCAAGATACTTATGGCACCTCTAAAAACATTTATTCAAATAAATTTTAAAGTGTTATTTTTAAAGTGTTATTTTTTCATATAGAACATATTAAGGTACAATCTGCAGATATTTTTCAAAAATGTTTTTTTTGAACCAACGTAAAGAGGAGTAGCTACATTGACTGACCAATAGGTAAAACATATGAAAAGTGCTGCCACATTGAGTGACAAATAGGTAAACATGCGAGGAGTGCTGCTACACCAACTGACAAACAGGTAGAGTGTAAATACAAGGAGTGCTGCTATATTGACTGAGGGTTTGATTTATATATATATATATATATATATATATATATATATATATATATATATATATATATATATATATATATACATATATATATAAATATATGTATATGTATATATATATATATATATATATATATATATATATATATATATATATATATATATATATATACATATATATATACACCTGTTATATCATTCTGTATATACATATCAGATGTATATACATATATATATATATCATATCAGGTGATTATAGGGGAGAGCGAGGCTAAAAGTCATAAGGGTTAGTTGTCATAGTCGCTATTTTGGAATGTTATAGCTGGATTGATGCTGCGATTTTTTTATATTATATAAATGGTGCTGAAAGATGACTGCTCAGTTGATTTCATGAAATTCGCGCGAATAGTTTTTCTACAAATCCAAAAAAAGTAAAAATTTCGTTGGTAAGTAACTTTTTAACTTTTTTGTTCAAATATTCAATACAGTAACAATATGCAATATTTGTGTTTAATACATTAAAATGTTTATAGTTTTAGAAATTCTTTTATTGGTGTGCTAGTCATTTTTCAGATTCACGGCAAGGATAAAAAGTTATTTAGGTCAAACCTTTCTCTACCCCCTGTGGGGCAAGTTGTCCTATTTTAAAGGGGGCAAGTTGTCATATAAAAAAAATTGCCTCCATACTTTCATATAGTTGTAAAAGTCTTAAATGAATGTTAATAATACATACAATGCTTATTATAAGTAATAAACATCAATAAAATGAATTAGGCATAATATTTAAGATTAATAATAAGCCTTAGTAAAAATTAATAAATGATTATAAAGTTTTGAACAGTTATAAAGTTTTGCTTACTTGGACTTTTATCCTAACATTTTTTTTTTTTTTTTTGCTTTATCAGATTTTAAATCATGGTTCGCAATTATCAAAGGAAAACCAGTAGAGGTACCACTGCTAAATGCACAATCCTTGAAGCAGTGAAAGCTGTAAAGTTACATGGCAGAAGCATAGCCCAGGTGTCTCTAGATTTCAACATCAACTATAGAAGCCTACAACGCTATTTGTCAAAAGCCTCTACAGAAGATCTTCAAGAAAAATTGACAATACCTTCATTTCACACTGGCTATGTACAACCTAGGTTTGTAGATTTTTAATATGTTTAAGGATTATAATATTTGTTATTATAAGTGACTCCATAAAATGAGTATTTATACTGGTATATATTTTATATTATTTCAGGCAAGTGTTGACACAGGAGCTTCATCTTGAACTCTGTAGCTACTTGCAAAGAGCTTCAGATATTTACTTTGGCCTTACACCAAAAGATGTTAGGAAACTAGCATATCAATTATCAGATGCTAATAAATTGGCTATGCCAAAATCATGGATGGAAAATCATTGTGCTGGGAGAGATTGGTTTACGTCTTTCCTACATAAAAATCCAACATAGTCTTAAAGAGCTCCAGAGGCTACAAGCATTGCAAGTGCCATAAGTTTTAACAAACACAATGTTGAAATGTTTTTCGATAATCTTCAGGTGTGTCTTCAACGTCACCAATTCACACCAGCAGATATTTGGAACATGGACGAAACAGGGACAACTACAGTTCAAAAGCCTGATAAAGTGATCTCAAGAAAGGGCCAAAAGCAAGTTGGGGCAATAACCTCAGCAGAAAGAGGTGCTTTAGTTACCTTGGCATGTGCTGCCTCTGCTATTGGTAACAGTATTCCACCTTTTTTCGTATTTCCGAAAGTCAATTTTAGGGACCTTTTTAACTTCTGCACCACCTGGCAGTGATAGGGACGCAAATCCATCTGGTTAAATGAAGGAAGACACTTTTTGTAAATTTCTTACTCATTTTGTAAAGTATGCACGGCCTTCAAAGGAGCATCCAGTTTTGCTACTGGTTGACAATCACTTTTCGCACTTGTCATTGAATGCACTAGACTATGCGACAGCAAATAGAATTATTATGTTAAGTTTTCCACCCCATTGCACCCACAAGTTGCAGCCACTAGATATAACAGTCTATGGCCCTTTTAAAAAGGCTGTAAATACAGCCATCAACAGTTGGATGGTCAGTAACCCTGGAAAGGGTATGACAATTTACAATATTCCAGAGATAGTGAAGGTTGCCTTTCCATTGAGCATGACACCAAATATTATACTGAGCGAATTTTCTTCCTGTGGCATCCACCCATTTAACCCTCAAATATTTACAGATTTGGACTTTGCTCTAAGTTCAGTAACAGAAATGCCTATGCCAGACAAAACCAATCCTCAATTAACGATGCCTCAAGCTTCAGAGGTTACAGTCTCACCAGAACAATCCACTTGTGCTTCAACTTCAAGTTTGACTTTGTCATCACAGGAGCCTTTAACATCTCAAGCCAAATCAATTTCTGAATGCTTTGAGCTTGCATCTCCAGATAAAGTAAGGCCATTACCAAAGGCACTAGAAAGAAAGCCTTCCAAAAACACACGCAAAAAGAGAACTTCCCCTATATTGACTGATTCCCCTTTCAAAAATTCTATGAGATCAGCACAGCCACTGCCAAAAAAATGCAAAAATTCTGCTAAGGGAAAAGGAAAAGGCAAAGCAACAAAAAAGCATACACAAGACTCATCATCATCATCAGAAGATGAAACCTACTGTATTATTTGCATACTTGGGCTAATAGCAGAGATGCTGAAAAATGGATCAAATACTGTGTGCTCAAGCTGGGCACATGAAGAATGTACAGCAGGAGGGTCCAGCTACATTTGCCATAACTGTGACTCTGATGATGATTATTAATGGTCATTTTCAAAGTGTTTTAGAGTATAAATTATAATATAAATTATATGTTATTTTTAATAATTTATAAATGATTAATATAAGACTTGTTTTCTATTTGAAAATATTTTTTTATACCTTTTAGACCTACACTTGTGATAAAATATAATTATGACAACTTGCCCCTCTTATCATGACAACTTGCCCCGACGGTGGGGCAAGTCGTCATACCATGGAGCCTTCTTTAGAAATGGTGGCATGTTATACTCATATGGTCTGAAGCTTTTTTAAATAACTATAATGATACGTTGTTTTTTAAATAACTATAATGATAAACTACCATATAAAATTGTTTTTATGAAATTTGACCAATTGGTTTTTGAAATATCTTGAAAAATATAAAAAGTATGACAATGTGCCTCGCTCTCCCCTACATATACATATATATATATATATATATATATATATATATATATATATATATATATATATATATATATATATATATATATATATATATATATATCATATCATATATGCCATATCATTTGCCTCCATCTATCATTATGTCAGTATAATATCATCATGTTTTGTGATGATCTAACACTTTTAAAAACAATTTTAAAATTACCTAGTTCCTGTTTTGTTAGATATTTCACTTTCATCTAAAACTGTCTTATTAGCTTTAAGAACATTGCTCACTGCTGTCACCAATGCTTCACCAATCTACAATAAGAAAAAACTCATTAAAAATAAATGCCACATTTTTCAAACAATCTATTTTTTATTTTCATTTCAAAATTTTATTGAACATAAATTTATCAGAATAAAATATGTTTTAAAACACTAGTAAAACTATTTTGTGTATATTTATTTGTGTATATTATTATTATATATATTATTATATATTAATATTTTATGTGATAATTCTGAGCTTTTCAAATCTCTTAAAAACATTTTTTTTAAATTATGCCAGCCATCATTATAATGTGGACATTATTTAACTTTTGATGCTTTTTAGCACAGTAAAGCTAAAAGAAGTATTATGAAACAAAATATTTATTGATAAATGAGGTTCAAAAACAATATCAAATATCAACTTTTCACATGAAAACACTTTTTATGTTAAACTAAAAGTATAAAGTAAACCTAATAAGTAATATTCAAGTATATAGTATCTTGATGTTTAACTTTAATTAACTCGTGTGTTAAATGTTACAACCTTATGTCAACCTTTTAACTCAAAAACTCACCTAAAGATTCTTTAACTTTAAACACAAAACTATTTTCAAACCTTAAATATTTTATTAGGACTTATATTAGGACTGATTTTATTGAGAAACATTACATATTATCTCATATAATTATCTATCAGTTATTACCTATTATAGATTACCATTTATACAACTATTATACATATTAATATAAAAAAAGTCAATTTGTTGAAAGATTATTGCAAGAAAAATGCAAAAGGTTTAAAAATATTTAATAAATCTCATAATGAAACTATAATGAAAAAACAATATATTATAATATATAGTACAATAAGATAAAAGGAAATTTAAGAGATAATGAATAATTTTTTTTAAGTATCCAAATAAATAAGCCATATAATTAAAAAATAATTAAAAAAATGAAAGATTCAAGAGATAACTTTGATAAAAGAACCATTAGATTTGATAGATTCAGTGCAGTGTACTATTCGATAGAATCAGTGCAGTGTACTATTCGATAGAATTAGTGCAGTGTACTATTTGATAGATTCACCGCAGTGTACTATTTGATAGATTCACTGCAGTGTACTATTTGATAGATTCACCGCAGTGTACTATTTGATAGATTCAGTGCAGTGTACTATTCGATAGAATCAGTGCAGTGTACTATTTGATAGATTCACTGCAGTGTACTATTTTCTTTAATTCATCTCAATCCTAATAAGAAATATCATCCTGAATTTTTTCTAAACATGTTTGGATCATTTAACCTTTCTATTCACTTCTATCTATGTAGTGACAAACACTTATACTTTAGATTTCCCAATATCTTGTGATCTTGGAAACCCCTGTACTAGAATTGCAAAAGTGTTCCTCAAAACATTTATCTGTACTAGAATTGCAAAAGTGTTCCTCAAAATATTCAGCTGAATATTCGAAACTATTTAATTATTTTTTAGCTTAATTCTTTTATATTATTTGCTTAAAACTGTCACTAAGCAACTATCCCGCTATTTTAAAAAACTTGTAGATTGCTCTGATTCTTTCAATTGTTGTGTTTTCTAAAATCTAATAACTTTCTGACAACCAATATCGAAACAATATTTTAATGTCATATTTTATTTATATCTATATAATATTTTCTTATTCTAATAAAATGATGGATTTGCTGTCTTGCATCATTTAAAATATAAAAAAGTATATAGAACATTATAATTCTATATGCATATATATGCTATATGTATTTTATATTTATTATATGACATTCTATATAAACTATTTTAGTGGATTCAAATATTCAAAAAAGAATGAATACAAAAAATATAAAAGAGACTATTTTTAATATTTTTTTGTTTTTAAGCTTTTAAATAACAAGAATAATTTTTTATTGTAATTTTGCTGAAAACAATCTTTTGCAAAACTATTTTATTAGTTCATGACTTACCAAGCGACTCCCATTTTCTACGCGAACAATTTTTTCTAAAATATCCAGAGTAAGTGTAATGTCATGCTTGTTGAGAAAATCAGGATCGGCTGTAATATTCTGCAATCGCTTTCCAATGCCAGCAGCATTCAATGGAGTTATTAGTACCTTACAAATATAAAAATAAAAATAAATAAGTTAAACATTTACTTTTATCTATATACTATACTTTAAAGGCCTCGACAGGAATTGTTCCCGTGCTTGCCTCTTTGCTTTCATTTTGATATTTTTGGCACAATGTAACCTGGATACTGCTGTTAAATTAGTTTTAAACCCCTTGCCAACAATAAAAACTTGAAAATTTTCTTTTACACAGGTACTTTTTAATTATGCCAATGTTGTTGGAGGTAAAAAATAATAAATTTTACTTATTTCAACCTTTATTTTAATAAAAGTTGAAATAAGTTTATTTTAACAAAGGCCTCAACAGGTTCTCGTATTTGCCTCGTGCTTACCTGTGTAAGTCAGCCAATATGGGTGAAATACAGCTCAAGCAAATTTACAATTTTTTTTTTGTCGAGTCGTATTTTATTTACATAAACAAAAATAGTAGAAAACATCTAAACTTTAAATTTCGCTTTAGTAAGTATACATAATTTTGAAAAAAAATGTTTATTCATTGTTACAATATTGTGTGTATCATTAAGGTAAAAAAGTAAATTAAAGATTGTTTTAAAATGTTTTGCCATTTATCAATTATTTTTAAATAAATTTGACAAGTTCAAATGACCAGTGTGAGGATTTTATTAAAATACATCTTTTAAAAATGTAAAAAAACAATAACAACAGTAGTTTTTAAAAAGCTATTTAAATTTTATATTTTTAAATTAAAAAATTTTTTAAATAAAGTTAACTTTTTAATACACAATATTTTTATAGTTGTGTTTTTAACTTAGGGGTTGTTCATATGAATAAAAGTCATCCAGCTTAACTGCGAAAGGAAAATTACTAAGATCTCACCTCTCCTTTAAAATTAATATAGCTTTAGCTGTGTTCATATGTAAAATTATTCACCTCGCTTAGGCAAGATCACGCCTATGAACCAACAGGCTCTCGGTTAGTCGAGGTGAAAATTCTTTAAGTGAACACAAGCTGAAAACCATCTTGGGTAGACAAGACAGCTTTTTTAAAAAATTTTAATTACATTTGCTTAATTTTTAAATTTCAGTAGTTTGACCATGTATGTTTATAGAACTTGAACATTTGTTTTGCAGTTTTATAAGTAGAAAATCTTTTTTACATTAGTTAATTATAAATTATTTATGATATTTATTTTGTAAAACACACAATATTAACAATATTAAACTTTCAATATGCATATAGTAAAAGTGTTAAGTTATCAAATAATTTGTTGTAAATCAAAATAGTTTTTGCTAAACTTTTTTTTTTAGTTTTAAATTAATAAATTGACACACTTGATTATTTGTAAACAAACATCATGTGACCTTAAAAACATCCCGCTTGAGCAAGGTGTTTTTTCCATATAAACAGGAGCTGAAATTCATTTGGACAGTCTGATTATCACAGTTGGGCAGGATGTTTTTTCTTCGTACAATTAGCCCCTTAAATTCTAAAATACAACTTAATAAAATGTGAAAACAATAGATATTGAAAACTTAAATTATCACTTTATTAAATCAAAAAATTTTTTAATTTAATAAACAACAATAAAAATTTGTTCATTAAAAGTCTAATACATATAACAATTTTTCTGAGTTTCAACAACATATTTGGATTATAGGATAACTATTTTCAAGTAGGTTAGAGCGGGGCATATTGGGACAGTGGGGCATAGCAGGACAGTTATGCCTGAAGCCTTATATCTCAGCTGAAAAAAATAATTTTTGGGTAAAACATTTTAAATTATTGTGCTTCATTATTGTAAAAAAAAAATTAATTTTAGAAATACCAAAATGCATTAAAAATACCAAAATACATCAGTAAGTTTGCCAAAAATTGCTGCTGCAATTGCCAATCAAAACCATTACTTCCATAACTATCAGCAAAACAAATCTCCAGAAAACAGACGTCTGTTTATTACTGCTAGGAACCATTGTAAAAAAGTTTTATCCAACGCCAAAGCCCGCTATTCTCAGATCATAAAATCTTGTATTTCATCACAAAAGTTAGGCTCTCGCGACTTCTGGAGAATCTTTGATAGTATCAATAATAAGGGCAAGTCTGTAATTCCACCTCTTTTGTATGGTTCAGACTTTGTCACCTCATCATAAGACAAAGTTGAATTGTTTGCCAAGAACTTTACACCAATATCATCTCTTGATTCCACTAGTTGCATTCTACCTGATATAGCAGTCAAACAGGTTGATCCACTGCTCGACATCCATATCACTCCAGCTTCTGTATCTAAAGTGATTTCTCACATCTAAGGTGGCATTGTTCGCTGATGACACTACCATTTATTCTTGTCACGATAAGAAGCTAACTCCCTCTGATTGCTTGCAGGGGGCATTTGAACTTGAAAAGGATCTCACTGCTGCTATAGCATGGGGCTCACAGTGGCTGGTAAACTTTAATCCAGATAAAACTCAATTTTTTTCAGCCAATCATTATCGCAATAATTTAGACCTTCCTATATTTATGAACGGTAATGTACTGAATGACTCATCTACCCTTTATCTTCTAGGATTAACTCTTACTTCTGATCTTTCTTGGAAACCTTATATCAAATCTGTTGCAAAATTAGCATCTGCTAAAGTTGCCATCGTGTCACATCGTCGTAATGTTGCTTCTTCTACTCTTTTCTACAAATACTAAAATGAGCACTGCTTTAAAGAGCTAACGTCTCTTGCCATCTACTAAAATTTATTCTCGTGTTACTCGTCATTCAATTAAGCGTCATCCTTTTTCTGTTACTGTTCCTAAGTGCTCCAAAAACTCTTATTCATCTAGTTTTTTCCCTCAAACATCAGTTCTTTGGAATTCGCTTCCTTCATCTTGCTTTCCTGATTCATATAATTTGCAATCTTTGAAGTTGGTGAAGAAATATACAAAAGCATATATAAGTAGATATATATATATATATGTATATATATATATATATATATATATATATATATATATATATATATATATATATATATATATATATATATATACATATATATATATATATATATATATATATACATAGATATATATATATATATATATATATATATATATATATATATATATATATATATATATATATATATATATATATATATATATATATATATATATATATATATATATATATATATATATATATATATATATATATATATATATATATATATATATATAGATTCCATTACAGTCCCACATAAATTTTTCAAACAATCAATTTTACAAGTGGCTGCATAAAATTGAGGAAGTGAATTAAAATAAAAAAAAATAAAAAAATATTGTGCATGTTATTTTGCAATTAAGAAAACTTGGTATGAATATTTTTTACTTAATTTGATAATGGTACTCTAGGCAATAATGTAACAATCTCTTTTAATGAGGATATACAACGTTGACACCTGAGAATATATAACTTTATGACACTTCAAGAGATACACCTATGAAAATATACAACTTTATGACACCTCAATTTTTTTTTTTTTTTGATGTTGTAATCAATAATGATTGTTCTTTGTGTTGCTTATTGTTAGAAATAATACAATCGGTTAAAAATAATACAAACAGCTACACTATTTGCAATTTTTAGTAATAATAATAACACTATTTGCAATTTTTAGTAATAATAATAACACTATTTGCAATTTTTAGTAATAATGATAACAGTAATTATAATACCTTATTAAGTTCAGTCAGTTCTTCAGTTGCTAAAATTTAAAACAACATTTGAAAAAAACTTTCATATGCTTGTAATTAAAAAAATAGTAACACTTAAAAATATATGTAAATATAATAATATGTTAAAGTAATAGAACAGGGAAGAGAGAAAATTCGTTTTTCAGCTAAATTCAACTTCATTTTTAAATTCCATTTCAATAAAATATTTTTTTTTGAAGAAATCTTTTATTTATGATTGGAGATAAATTATAAAAATATGAAAGAACCTGCCTGATAAAGCAAATTTAGTATATTTATTTTATCAGCAAATCAACAAAAAGTACCTTCTCCTGTAAATATCAAAAATGGTGGATGAGTGAACGGTCCGCCGCCAACAACAGTATATGCTTGCACTGATATCTCATAATTTACTCCAGCTTCCAAGTTATATAAATCAATATGTGTTTTATTAACAATTTTTTGAATAATATTCGGCTCTTCATATAGTTTAACTGATTTTTTATATTTAATCATATAATGAGTTATAACTCCGTTGCGTAATCCTTTTTCAGGCATACTCCAGGAACAAGATAAGGCATCATGTTGAATTTTGACAACATACAAGTTAAGAGGGGCCCCATAAGGTCCTACAATCAAAATAATCAATTTAAAAATAATTTTCAGATGGTAACTAAAACATAAATGTTACAAATTATAATAAATTGTAAATGGCTAATAAAATTTATACTATTTATAAAAGTGTAATTAATTTATTGTTAAAGCTAATATAATTATAGTTTATTTACAACTAATATCAACTAATGCAAGTTAAAATTATTTATTGGTTTTAATGTAAAAAAGTAGAAAATGAAATAAAAATTTATACAAAATAAAACTAAATGTTGCATAATATAGTAAGTTATGTGAATTTTAGGGTATTTTTTGTGAATTTGAGACCTTAAGCAAATTTATGTAAAACTTATAAATTGGGAAAGTTTGTTGAATACTCACTGTTATTACAATTTATTATTTAAGTCTATGTTAAATAAATAAAAAAGAGTAAACAATCTTTTTTTTTCTATACAAATGTTAAACTAAAAACGTTATTTAATATTTATTATATATTATTTTTTTAATGCTTAAATAGCTAATTAATCAAATAATGTATTACTAAATACATAAAAAAATTAGTATAATGCATCATTTTAAACACATTCACAAAGAAAAAGAAACAATAATAAACAAAAACCATATTGCATTCAAATCTAATTTAAATTGTTTTTATCATATTTTTTTTCAAGTCATATTTTTAAATAATAAATTTAAAATAAAATAATTCTATTTTCAATATAATAGGTTTTTGTGAGCAGAGTCGCTACCAATATCTCTGCCATCATTGTTGGAAGGTTCAAGCAGTGGTTGAACTACCTTTCTGCCATCAAAAGTACATAAATATAGGTAGCATTACCTAAAAATTATAAATAAAAAATGTTTTTAATAACTCAATACTTACTATCTTGTTGAGTTTCCACCGTTACTGAAAAATAATCTCCAACCTCATTCTCCAAATATGCAATGGCAACAGCTAATGTATAGTTTTTATATGGTTTTATTGAATCAGATATGTTAAATTCATCTTTAGAATCAATTTGATGTCTTGAAAGTTTATTTGATGAACTCACATTTAAAACATAACCAACTGTATCTTTTGTGAGATTACCAACAAATGAAAATAAAACCATAATATATGAAGACCCAATTTTTGTAACATTAAGAAGTGGACTGGGTGCTAAAATAAAAACACTAAAGACTATATTGACATAAATCCTAAAAATATTTTTTAATCAAAAAAATTTTCTAATCTAAATAAATATAAGGTTTTTTTAAAAATGTTTGTTTTTTAATCTTTAATAAATGAAATATATATATTTTTTCTAGCTCTACTTCATACTACATATTTCATTGAAAATTTTTTAAGCAATAATTTGCACATAAAACTTGAGCATTTTTAAAATAAGTTACATTTCACATTTTCTCTTATAAACAAAACCACAGAGCAAATTACCATAAAAAATTTTTAAGCAATAATTTGCACATAAAACTTAAGCATTTTTAAAATAAGTTACATTTCACATTTTCTCTTATAAAGAAAACCGCAGAGCAAATTACCATAAAAATTTCTTTAGAGTATTTTGCTTATATTTTTGATAAAGTAGAATAAAAAATATATTTATATATAAAAAAAAGATATATTAATAAATGAAAAAGGTTTTTTTTTAATCTTTAATTTATGTATATACATTTTGATTTGTGTGTCAATTTTGTTTACAGATGTTCAGATTTTTTAGACAGCGGGTCTAAAACCCCAAAAATACTAAAAACTCACAGCACATTATCAGATCTATAAGCATGCAAAAATTTTTTCACTGTTCAGCATACATAGAGCATGCAATGCTGATCAAGATAAAAAAGGATGGAATCTTATGACATCCTAGAAACTACTGGAAATAAAGGACATTATTATCCATTAAGAATTCAATACTTTGATTAGAAAAGAATAATTTATTAATTTTTAAAATTTACCAGACATACCATTAGAGATCTTATTGAGTATACCAAAATATCAAAATGGAAAGTAATTGATATGTCAAAAGCAACAATCCTTGCCTCATCATCACTTTCATCTAATGGACAATAGAACCTCATCGCTTTTGTTACGTTTTTTAATTTCATTTTCGCTTTTCGTTTTCGACTTTCTTTCGTTATGATCAGCAGTAGAAACAATTTTTGATAAAACTATTTTGAAAACTTTTAAAGATTTTCGCTTATTTTGAGACAAGGTTGAACTATTTTTGAAGAATTTTTTTATGCTTATTTTATATGTATATCTTTTTTGTATAATTTTTTTTTGTAAAATAATGCATAAAAAATTCTCTTGTTCAACATTTTATTCAATTTCAGCCCAACATTGTGAAGTAGTTGCTTTAGTATACTAGGAGGGTGGTTAAACTACATAAAATTTTTAACAAGGACACTGTAAAAATCAGCTTCAGTTGTATGCCAAACATGAAATTAGCAATAAATTTGCACAACAAGCCCATCCAAAACAAAAATCCAACCATCAATAAAAATAACTGCAATTGCTTTAATAAAAACATATTGCCCTTTACTCAATAAATGCTTGATCAACAATATTGTATATGAAGCAACTATTACTTCTGACAACCCTTCAATAAAAAAAAATCATACATTGGTATAAGTGAAACACCTTTTAAACTGAGATATGCCAACCACTTAAAATCATTCAATATTCCTAAATATAAAAGCGATACAGAACTGTCGAAAAAATTTCGGAAATTAAAAAATAATAATAAAAATCTAATGGTTAGAAATGGTAAAATAATTTGACAATGTCAAGCATATAACTTGATAACAAAATCCTTCAAGTCATGCTTTAGTGAAAAATATGAAACTATTTCAAACAATGACAACAGTTTAAAACACAAAACTGAAATTATATCAAAATGTCAAAATAGAAATAAATTCCTTTAATACAAGTCAAAAACATCAATTCAACGCAGGATAAAAATTCGACCAATTTTTTTTAACTTTAGATCTCATTGCATTGCTTAATTTTTATTTTTCATTTGCATTTTTATAGTTTTTTAATTTCTTGATTTAAAAATATATGGGTGAAAATATACATGCAACTTGTTTCTTTGCGCATAAACCTTCACTTATTTTAAGCTTTCCCAAAATGACATAATTAGTTAACCCACAAAAAACATTTACTAAAATCGTTACTATAATAACTTGTGAACTAAATGCATATTTAAAACAAAATGTCATGTGTTTTTATTTAATTTAAATAATAAAATAAAGCGGCTCAAAAATATTACAAATTTTATTCTGACGACATGCTCAGACAGGTTTAATAGACTTCAATAGACTTCATTGCTACACTTGTAAAATAATAATTTTTTACATAAGCATAAACGCAGGCTTCGAACTTCAAACCTCTTGGTTCTGAGCCAGGACTTAAACATTTACATAACTGTTGGCTAAAAAAATTTAAATTAATAAACTTATATAAGTTAATAAGTTAAGAAACATTCATATGCTGATATACAATTAAAAATTCTCGAAGTCAGAATAATTTTTATGACAGACAGGACTCCAGGTAAAAATAGAGACTCCAGGAGTCTCTATTTTTACCTGGAGTCCTTCCTCTATTTTTAGCCCCGCCTTTGCATCTTAATTAAAAGATAAATTAAATATTCCAAAATAAAATAATTAATTCTAAAAAAGTTAATTCGTTAAAAGGCCTGTCAAATTTTTTTTTTTTTTTTTTTTTGACAAATTTAGTTCTCTCTAAACCCTTAAATAAAATTTGTAAAAAAAATTAAAATAAAATAGCATTTTTGTTTAAACAAAACTGTTTAGTTTTTATTTATAAAAAATTTTTTTTTTAAATACGAAAGTACTTTTTTAAATACACTTGTACAATTTTCTTATGTTCTAACTAGTGATGGACCAAAATTCGGTTGGGTTCCAGCCACAACTATTACCGGATTTTTCGGTCCCTGTACCGGTTCTGGTGTTATTTAAGATTTCAGTTGCGGCCGGAATTATTTAAGATTTTAGTTCAAAATGCTACCAAAAATTGATATTTTAAAGCTTTATTAAGCATTATCATTTTGATAAAATAAATAAAAAAAAAGTTTTTTAAATTAAATGATAAGCTTGAAAATTAATGGAAATAAGATTTTGTTAATTAATGTTAAATTAACTGTATGTTTGTTCAAAAAAAGCATACAGTTAATTATTTTCCAGAGGGAATTTTCGTGTAGCAATTATTACAATAAATATTGGAAATACAAAAAACTTGTCAATTATATTCTTAAAATTTTTATTTGACGCAAACTAGCAACATTGAAAAGCTGTCTTATAGTTTATTCTAACAAAATGAATTTAAAAAGGGAAATACTTTATAATTGAAGCAAACAATCCAAGAACAGTTCAGTGCAAAATATGCAACGGCAAAGTTGCAAGAGGATCAGATGACCCAAAAAAAAAAGGATTTTATGGACTAACTTCACACCTGAAGAATCATCATCCTGACATCAAACTTATGCCAGAATGTTCAGGAAATCCAAAAACCAACGAAGAAGCTGAATTGAAATTAAAAAAGAAAAAGACAGTTCCAATCTTCAATATACGATTAAAAAAGACAAAGATTTGACATGTTAAAATCAACAACTCCAAACTGGGTTCAAACTTCTTCAAAAATTGAAGTTCTGAAAAAGGCCAAAAATTTTACAAGTCAATATTTGAAATGATGGTTCTTGACCTCCAACCATAATCTATTGTCAATGATGCTGGATTTTTAAGGCCCCATGCTCTTGTTGCTCCTAATTAAAAAACTGCTAGCAAAAAATACTACAGTTTACTGGATCCATTTTATGAAAAAATAAAATTTGGTTCAATCAGAAGCTGAAAGTGTGTCAGCATATCTTGATGCATGGTCATCATTTCATCATGGCTACCTGGGGATGACGGTTCACTTTATTTCCAAAGATTGGAACCATGTCAAAATCTGCATATCTGGTTCTCGATTTGATGAAAGACATACCACAAAAAACATTTTCAACAAGATCAAAACAACAGCAAAGGAGTGGGAAATTTCTTCAAAAATTGAAGTTTGCATAAGAGACAATGCAGCAAATGTAAAGGCAGCTTTTAGTGAACCAAGCTGTAACTATGTGTCAGCTGGATGTCTTAACCACTCCCTTCAACTTGCCATCAAAAAAGAACTATTTTCACATCCAATTATATAAAGACTGATTGCAAAGTGTCATAAACTCTGTTCTTACGCATCCCTTTCTACTGCTTTCTACACCGAACATTACAGACAGCAAGAAATACAAATGGTTACATGAGTCAGACTTGGCTTAAAAAGTAATGTTGCTACAAGATGGAATTCTACCTATTATATGTTTGAGCAAACTTTATACCTGAAGCCAGCTATTGCTGCTACCTTAATCACCTCACACCATCTCCAATATCTACAGATATTGAAAGACCTTTCTACAGCTGGAGATATTCCCTCAAATGAAAGAAACATAATCCATCCAGAAATTTTGGAAAAAAAATTTTTTATTTGCAAAAATCTTCCAGTTGTTGGATTCTGTTATTAGTTATTTTTATTAATATATATATATATATATATATATATATATATATATATATATATATATATATATATATATATATATATATATATATATATATATATATGTATAAATATATATATATATATATATATATATATATATATATATATATATATATATATATATATACACACACATATATGTGTATATATATATATATATATATAAAAATATCTATATATATAAATATATATATATATATATATATATATATATATATATATATATATATATATATATATCAGACTTGGTCAGGAAGCGGGTGCGATCGCACTTAATAACTGACCACAGAAATAATATTTAGTTGCGAAAAACCGCCCAGATTTTTTAGTTGTTTTGAGAACATTAAAGTTTATCTATGTTTCCTTGCTTGTCCGCAAAATAATAAGTTCATTTTATCGTAAATTTTAAAATATTTTGTTTTACAGACTTACATGGAAACATACATAAACTTAAATGTTCTCAAACATCTTAGTGCAGAAAAATAAAAAAAGAATATTTGCGAACACAAAAAACCTGCCAAATCTACGAACAACTGATTCTATTGGTTCAAAAAATACTAACCAAAATTTGTAGAGTATTCAAAAAATACTAACCGAATGTCCTGAGTATTCTGTTGAAATATTTCAAAAAATTGTACTTTTTGAATTTTGTTGCGTTTTTGTTAAGGTTTCTAGCATAAATTATTTTAAGAATATACTATCAAACGAACTACTATTTTAATTCTTGGAGCCACATCTACAAAGCTATAAATGTTTTGAACTAACATTATTTGGTTACAATAACAAATGTTTTAAATTTATATTTTTTAACTTGTCAACATTTTGTAAATATATTATAGGTTTTTTAAGTATATTCTTATTTTTTGTATATAAGGGATGTATTTTTTATGTAAGTAATGTATTTTTATGTATGTAATGTATTTTTATTTATGTAATTTTATGTATGTGTATTTTATTCAAATGTAATCTTTTAAAGCAATTTGTGCGATTGATTTTGAAAACGAAAATACTTTCAATAATAACTGTGTTTTCAATGAAATTATTAATAATCGCCAAAATTAATACAGAAAATTTTAACCACTAATCCATTTTCCTCAGTGTACCCAATAACTGATTCTTTCTCCCAAGAAAGAAAAGTTTTTAAGTTCTTAGAAATTGGTTTATTAACTTCAATTATTTTTGCTTCAGCCATTCTTACAAACTCATTATACTTGAAGTTACTTTTTCTGTTTTAAATACTAATTAAAATTATAAAACCCACTTACTAAACATCACCAGCGGTATTTGAAGCAGTTCCCCTTCCTCACAAAGTAATTTAACGTTTTTTGTTAATTTCTATCTAGCTAATTGAATTTCTACAGTAACTCAATGATATAATTATTTCATTTATTTATCTTACTAAGAAGAATTGTTTCAAATGTGTTGAACTTTTTAAACTACGCAAAGCATAAAACAGTTATTGAAAAAATGTTTTTATTTATAAATAAATCATCTGGTTGAATCTTGCTGGACTTTTCAGGGCTGGGAGTTGCATTATTTTGGCAGCCTTTTTATGTGCCACAGCGTAAAAATGACTAAAAAAAATGACTAAAAAAAATGGTCCTCTTGACTATTTCCCCTAACACTGTGAGTCCCGGGGCTATAGCCCTACTACCCCCACCTCACCTCTTCAATCCAGCACTGGAAATAAGACATAAGTATATAAATAAAACTTATATATACTCTTTGATAAATCAAAGAACATTTGTTTCTTTATAGTTGTTACTTTATATAAAAAATGTCGCTTAATTTTATAAAAAAAGTTATAAAAGAGCGACATTTCAAAAATAATTGCTTTAATAAATTTATTTTGCTTAAAGTTTTTTTGCGTTAAAAGCTAGTTTTCTTTTTTTAACTGTCTCTCATTGGTCCAGTTAATCTAAACGCGCTTTTTTGTTTGTTTTTGGAATGTTCTCAAAATGACTAAAAAATCTGGCCAGCTTTTTGCAACTAAATAATATTTCCGTGGTCAAATATCGAGTGCGATCGCACCCGCTTCCCGACCAAGCCTGATATATATATATATATATTAGCAATAATTTAAAATATATATACATTACCAATAAAAAAAAAGAAGTTAATTATCTTACAAAGAACTGTAACTAAAGCATCTGATTTGCTGTAGAAATTTTCTAAACTTGGATACCACGCTAAACATGTAAAAGTTAAGCCATTTTCTTGTCCTTTTATTCTATCAAAAGATAGTTTTGCATTTAAATTTCCTCGAAATTCTACATAAGATGTACTGAAACGATTGTTAGTCGGAAGAAACTTTCCATTCATGTTCCATGCAATAGTAATACCTGGCTGCCCATTGAACTCACATTTTAAATCGAAAGGTTCACCTCGATTAACAGTTTCATCTGTGAGCCCAGCTATAAGTTTTGGTGTTAACTCTAAAGCATATAAACAAAAAAACAATTAAACACTAACTCAAAAATTAAAAAACAAATTACAAATGAAATTAAAGAACATGAATAAATATAATAAATGGCTCTATACAAAAAATAAAGTTCATAAAATATTATTTAAAATCATAAAACATACTTTTGTTTTGAAACTATTTCAACACTATGTGGTACTAGCTGATCATACCTGTAAAAATACGGGTCTTTGTAAATCTATTCCACACCAACCTTTTCTATACTTTTTCCTTATTCATATATCCTAGCTTTCCAGACCTTTACATAACCAAACCTACCATTTCTATACTCATCTACTTCACATTTCTATACCTATTACCTTTTTACTTCAATATTTTTTAGTAAAATTATTCATTCTGAAAATTTGCTTTAAAAGCAAATTGTATATGTAGAGCTTATAAGAGATTTTTTCTCCTAAACGCATATATTTGATAGCTCAGTGGTTTAGTGTGCTGTCATTGTTGTTGTTTCAGGGGGTTTAAGACTTCCCTGTAGTGTAATAAATTTTGAAATTTTTTTAATCTTGTTTTTATGTTTATTTATAATATAGCACAAAATATTTCTAATTTTTAAAATAAAATTTTAAAGCTTTCTCATTTTATTGAGTACACACATTATATTATACACAATTGTTTTATATACTGCCTGCAAACTCAACATATGTTAAAGAAGTTTAAACACTGACAGACATTTGTATGTAACGCTATACAAATGGCAGAACTAAGAAGATCTTAGATCATTAAAAACTATAGATGCAGCCTAAACTATAAAACGCTAATCTAAAAGTTAAGCAAAAAAGATTTTGTGCCATGAGGTCAGTTCAAGGCAAAAAAAACTTCTATACGCCAAGTTTGATTTTACATTTTTAAAATAATTTTAATTATGGTGCATACAATTTTACAAAAAGATTTAAAATTGATAGAGATATATCATTTCACAGATAAGAATTTGTATTTATCACAATAGTGATAAATATATAGTTTTAAAAAAATAACATGTTACTAGTATAACACACATAGTAAAACACTTATGTTCACTTATGTTTTCTTACAATAAAAGTATTGCAATTCTTTCTTGCCACTACCTCAATTGCATTGGCTGCCAAGTGCTTCGCGTCATACAAACTCAAAGGGGCAATACTACTACTACTACTATTACTACTACTACTACTACTACTACTACTACTACTACTACTACTACTACTACTACTACTACTACTACTACTACAACTATTACTACTACTACTACTACCACTACTACTACTACTACTGCTGCTGCTGCGACTAACACTCTTAAGTTTGGCAATAATAGTGATATACTATATATATATATATATTATTGTACTCTATAGAATATTCTAGTATATATTATGCTTACCAGTGGGAGTTTCACATTCTTTTAAATTCACTCGCAAACATGGCAAATCTTTCCAAATAACAGGCAATATACGAATAAATCTTGTTAGAAAAGGATCTAATTTGATCATTTTTATTTCATTTGAATTAGAATTAGCTACAAATGTCTGCATAATAAAAAAAAGAAATTAATTTTTAAAACCATAAACATAATCTTTCAATAAATGAAATTTTTAAATTTGAACACAAAACAATAAACTATCAAACCTGGTAATTATTATACTCCTTCCAATTTTTACCATTCATACTATAATTAAGTCTAAAGCTTTTAATCCATGCATTTGTTTGATTGAACCCTTGAGTTTCAATTTCTGATAACTCTCGAATGTACATTAAATCTATCTGGAAAACATTATTTTTATTTTATATCTATGTATTGTCAATAAAAAAAAATTTACAACTGTAACTTATAAAAAAATTATCACAAATCAACAATCAACAAAAAATTATTTAAATCATCACAAATCAACAATCACAAAATTGTTTCAAGCTTTATAAATATTTTTAAAGTCAAATTTCTTTTTTTAATTTTTCTTCGGCTACAAGCAACCATTATTCATGTTGGGAATTATTAGCAAGGTAAAAATTCTAAAACATTAATTTTCAAAGAAAAAAACTAAATGAATAAAAGTTTTTTCAACACAAAGAAACTGGTATAGTAAAAAAATATAATTTTGCTGAACACAAAACATGCAAGTTTTTTTTGATGGAACAAGAGATAAAAGCACACTTAATGGTAGTATTAGTAAAAAAGTAAAAATGACCTTTTTTTTTTTAATGTTTTTTACAGCAAATATTTATTTTCGCAAAAAAAACGCAGATTTTCTGCTAAGGTTTGTCGGAATGAGGGGTTACCGCCGCCCAAAGGCAGTTTTTACTAGAATAGGCCCTGACTACATCTACTATGTGCTTTTGGACTGTTTGAAAGAGAAAGGGAACTGCTTGAATAACTAGCCAGAAAATGACAAGAATGTTTCATTTAAAAGTAAACTAAAGATTTATAAAAATAAAAATAGAACTTTTTGGCACAAAGTTAATACATACTAAAATCTAAAACTCAATTTTCTAGGAAACACAAAAAATGGACATATGACCTTCTGGTTCTCGGCTGCCAAAATAATAACTTTACAATGGATTTGTAAAGGCCTGTAATAAACCACCCTCTGTATGCCTGAAGCTGTCACAGAAAAAAGATCACATTGAAGATCAACTACTCACTGTCACTAAACAATAAAAAGTGATAATATTTATTGCTTAGAACAGATAGCTTATGTTTTAGAACAGGAATCCAACCAAGACTGGAATTTATATATGTATTATCAGCAAAATAGAGTCACTTTAAAGATAAGATTATCAGTTAGATCATTACTATAGATGAGAAACAGCACAGGACCGAAGATAAAGTCATGCTAACAATAGTAAGAAGACAGACTGGAACCTAGCAGGATCAATAGAATCTCTAGAACATTTTAAAATTGGAAATACGTATGTTATCTTTCATATGTTATTCTTCAACAAAAAAGAAAACAAGTTTTAATTAGGCAATTGTTACCTGTACAGAAATGAACACTTTTGTGAGACTGTGACAAGAACATTTAGACCAAAAGCTGTAAAAGAATTTAAGTGGAACATTAGCAACAAAAGCTGAAATAGTCTGTGCAGTTACCTCATTAGCTAATCAACTCCATTTTAAAAAAAGATTCCTTACATAAACTCAATAATGCACACCAAAAGCACTAATAGGGACACCTATGCACAACATGATACTGTTATTACTACAATATTTTACAGCTGTTGAAGAAATCAAACAAATCTAATCAGCCTCTCTAAGAGCTACCACAGAGTTTGAGCAATGTTAAGGCCAATCTCAGAACCATTTAACTAAGTTTTAGACCACAATTAGAAGTTAACAGAAAAAGTTGCAGTAAAAGTAAATTAATTAAGACACTACTCTAGCCTATACTAAACTAAGAGCTTGAAGACAGAGGATACTTCAAATCAAAGTTAACTTTGTCTATCTTGTGGATAATGTCCTGTTCAGCAGGACATTTGGCAGGTTGCACTAGATTATATGTTACCAGTTGTAGGGTACATTTAATACAAATCTTCTACAATCTTAATACAATGATTCTGAATTGACCTAAAATTAAAATATATACTAGATTTAATGAAAATACTGAAACACTTTACAGAAACAAATAATGGCAAATATATGACTGAAATAAGTTATGCAAACAAATTACTGAAACAAATTTAAATTTAAATATTTTAAAAAAAGGCATTTTATTAAAAGAATCTAGAACTATTTAAAATAATTTAACTTTTTTTTTACACAATTATCACTTATACAAAAACTGTTTGATTTAAATCAGCTTTTAGAAACTTATTTTTATTGTTATATATTACAAACATTTTTAATAAAAAAATTATCTAGGTACCGTATACTTGATCTTAACAAATTATATAGGTACCGCATATCTGATCCCTAAAAAGGTTTTTTATTACACACTTTTACTATATTTTTTTCCAATTTTTTTTTTTTTTTTTTTTTGTGTCTATAATTTCACACTTGAATATTTTTTTATGTGACCAATAAAAATGATCTGTTTTCACAAAACTTTTTTATATTAGATTTTTGCCTACATGAATACAAAAACTTAGTTATAATCAAAACATGTTGAAAAAATGCTCTTACTTTTACTAAGCATATAATAAAGTGGATTTTAGTATTTATAACATTTATAACATATTTGTGCTTAAAAACTGTTAATATTTTTTAAGTATTGAAGTTAGTTTTTAATGTTTCTTATAATTCTATCTGAACAAAGTTTTGATGTAGGTTAAGTTCACACACTTGATTTGTTTTTTTAAAAAAAAGAGATCTAACCCAAAGTTGACTGTTAAGAAGTAAACAAAACAGGTCAGATACAAAAAAAAAGATTTTAATTACAAGTTATTTTCAAATGAGGTCACAGACTAAAAGGCAGAATATTTCAACAATTGCCTTATTTGTTAAATTCAAGTAGACATAAAAGTTTTATATACATTAAAGTATATATATATATATATATATATATATATATATATATATATATATATATATATATATATATATATATATATATATATATATATATATATATATATATATATATATATATATATATATATATATATATATATATATATATATACTAATATCAATAGACTATTATTAACTTGGTATAATTTTTTTCAAATTAAGTTCTTATTAATCCTATCATTTAGCAAGAAAAGTATTTTGAAAAAATAACCTAATTTCTTTCAGAATTATAAATTATATACAACACTAAAAAAATTTGAGAATATTGCTTATTGTTTGTTGTAGCTAGACCAGATAATTTGCAACACTCTTAAATTAAAAACAATTGTAAGCAAGAGCAAATATAGATATCCCTTGGTATTGTATAGTAAAAAAAGATTTTAATTTTCTTTTGATTTGCAAGTAACTTTGTTTTTAAGTGGCTTTACTTTCTTATGATTCAAGTGGCTTTACTTTCTTATTTCTATCTCAAAATTTATAATAAAGATACCTCAAAGTTCCATTTGATCAAGGTTATGTATAAGGATAGCCCAAAATAAAGGGCTGAAGATATCTTAACATAATTTCTATGTATAATTTTTAAATATTAGCATGTTTTAAACATTGGAAGTCAGCCAAAAAATATATATATATATTTTTTTAATTTGTACTTCACCTGCCCAAGGCAAAAAAGGCCACTACAAATGAGGAGGCTACTTGTGATTATAACCATCTCCCAACACTAACTCCGAAACACAAACTAGGTCGCTGCGTGGAGAAACAAGAACTCACGTGGTACTACCAGGTGGGAATTGAACTCTGAACCTTCCACTTATGAAGCTTATGAAGTTAAAAAAAAGGTTTTAAAATAGAATCAACACTTGGTTGGAACTAATATGTTGTTAATTACCATCTAACTTTAGTAGAAAATATTTAAGTTTGTTATTTCATTAAGTTCTATTGGTAGGGAAAGAGGGTCAAATTTTTATAAATTTACATTTTTTCAATTTTAATTAAAACTCACTGCAATTGGAAATTATAATTATCTTGTCAGTTGAAATCAAAAAAAAAGGAAGAAAAAACATTCAAAAAAAAAAAGAATTACTTCAAGCCAAGGAGTTTTATCATTAACATCAGCACACCAAGCTGCCAATTGAGAGGAGTGAGTTAAACGAGCTTCAAATGGATTTGTGTTCTTATAAACAGAAGAAGCCAAAAACCTTTCATTTGAGAATATAGTTGAGTTTTCTAAGCCAACATTTTTGCTGTGCACTAAAAAAAATAAAAATCCAATTTCAACTGCCTTTTTTTATTTTTTAATAATAAAATGATGTTTTTAACTCAAAAAATACACTTATTCTAAATTTAAAAATCTTTTTACACTTTAAATTAATTATAATTTATCTAAAAAATTTAATATTAAAATAACTTAATTGTCCACTAAAAGATAAAAATATATAATTAACCAAATTTTGTACCTTTTTTAGGAATGCAACCATAAAGTTCTACTTGCATGCAAAACGAAACTCCTTCTTTCGCATTAGGATAAATTCGAACAAATCTTGTAATCAGCGGCTTCACTAGTGTCTCATTCAAATAGTCATAATAACTGTCAGGTCCATTAAATATCTAAAAAAAAACTTCTGATAAACAATTTTTTGTATGCTAGTCCATTTTTAATTTATGGCTTTTATACATTTTGAACAATTGCACAAAGATATAAAGAAAAAGTAATTGTTACCAATAAAACATATAAGAAAAAGTAACTGTTACCAAGAAAAAGTAATTGTTACCAATAAATATATATATATATATATATATATATTTATATATATATATATATATATATTTATATATATATATATATATATATATATATATATATATATATATATATATATATATATATATATATATATATATATATATATATATTTATATATATATATATATATTTATATATATATATATATATATATATATATATATATATATATATATATATATATATATATATATATATATATATATATATATATATATATATATATATATATATATGTATATATATATATATAGGCCTTGGTGGGAAGAAATAAGTTACCAATAAAACTTGTAAAATGTACAATTTTAATTTTGGATTAAAAAAAATATATATATATGTATATGTATATATATATATATATATATATATATATATATATATATACATATATATGTGTATATATATATATACATATATATATATATATATATATATATATATATATATATATATATATATATATATATATATATATATATATATATATAGATATATATATATATATATATATATATATATATATATATATATATATATATATATATATATATATATATATATATATATATATATATATATATATATATATATATATATATATATATATATATATATATATATATATATATATAGGTCTTGGTGGGAAGAAATAAGTGCAAGGGCAGTGAAAATGCTCTCCTAAAACGAACATGGCGAGCTGTGCGAGCTGCTTCTCTAAATTCTTTAGACAAGCATTGTTTTTATTGCTTATAAAAAAAATTTTATATTTTCTTATTGTGATAGAATGCAGGGATTTTAAGAATTATTAAAGATATTAAAATGACTGCATTTTTTATTTTAGTTACAATAATAAATAAACTTTTGAGAGAAAAAATTATACTTTTGTGAGCGCCGTAAATTGCTCCCGTAAACCGGAAAGCAGGAAACCTCGGCGGGAACGAGAGCTAAAGCTCTCATTTCCCACCGAGGCCTGTATATATATATATATATATATATATATATATATATATATATATATATATATATATATATATACATATATATATATATATATATATATATATATATATATATATATATATATATATATATATATATATATATATATATATATATATATATATATATATATATATATAACCCTCTGATTTAGGAAAAATGAGGTTGGCAATAATTTGCAAAAAATATAGAAACGAGAAACAGCAATTTTTTGCCTACCTCAAACACTTTTAGGTAGGCATTTAGGACCCTAATTCAGAGGGTTGTATATATATATATATGTATATATATATATATATATATATATATATATATATATATATATATATATATATATATATATATATATATATATATATATATATATACTCTTGCATGTCTCTTGCGTAGCATCAAAAAAAGTTTCCCATAAACTGTAGTTTTAAAGAGCGCGTTAATAAACCAGACTAGAAAAAGTTTTAAAAATTAAATTTTTTTTTTTAATTGATAGACTGCCTGGCCAAACCAAACCCTCAGTCGATGTAGCAGCACTCTCTTGCGAGTCAGGCTATTTGTCAGTCGTTGTAGCAGCACTCCCTTGCGAGTCAGGCTATTTGTCAGTCGATGTAGCAGCATTCCCTTGCGAGTCAGGCTATTTGTCAGTCGATGTAGCAGCACTCCGTTGCGAGTCAGGCTATTTGTCAGTCGATGTAGCAGCACTCCGTTGCGAGTCAGGCTATTTGTCAGTCGATGTAGCAGCACTCCGTTGCGAGCCAGGCTATAAGATAGTCGATGTAGCAACATTTACGCATGTTTTAAAAATGTTTTTTATTAAATCAATAACAAAAACACCACTAATTAAAAAAAACTTTCTAGTCGTTATAATTGCGGTTTTTTAAAAATTTTTTAAAAAACAATTAAATTTAATAAACTTCCGCATAAATTAATTGCTTTGACATTTCGATGACAATCAAAAACAGCTTAAGAGACGAGGTAATTAAAATTGTAGTCGAAAGAGACTTTTTTTACATTAAAATGCTCTTAAAGCTACACTATATGGGTATATATATATATATATATATATATATATATATATATATATATATATATATATATATATATATATATATATATATATATATAATGTCATTGCGTAATTCCGGTTCACGGTTATGTTGAATAAAAAAACGTGCAAGTGAGTTTCCATTTTGGTCGGGACATTATATTGAGAGACACGAAGCAAGAACTTTACTTGTAGTGTGGTGTTATAAATAAATTACATATTGAGTTATTACTAAGAGTTGTTATTATATTCAGTGGTGTTATTGTTACTATTAGGTTATAACAATTGGCAACGAAGATAAAAAAATGATGCATTTATCGAATATATCTTGTTTGGATTTAGAAAATGACGATTTTGAAAAATATATTGAAAGATTTGACAATTTTTTACTGGCCAATGACATAGAAGATGCTGAAAAACAAAAAGCTGTATTTTTATCAACCATAGGAGGACCTGCTTATAAACTTATCCGAAGTTTATGTGAAATGACACAAAGAATAAGAGTTTTACTCAAATAGTTAAACTAATGAAGGACCATTTGAAACCGATACCAAACTGCATTGCACAGCGTTTTCAATTTTATAAAAGAGATAGAAAAGATGAAGAATCTGTAAGCGGGTATATTACTGAATTACGTAGACTATCTGAACACTGTGAGTTTGGTGAAAACTTGAATGATTATTTAAGAGACAGGTTTGTTTGTGGATTAAATAATGAAAATGTGCAACAAAAATTATTAACCATAAAAAATCTAACGTTGGAGACAACACTTGACACAGCGAGAGCATATGAGACAGCATATAAAGATACCAAAGCTATACGTACAAAAGAAAGCTTTATAGAGCAGGATGAATTGCATAAAGTAGAAATTCGGACAAAATCAGAAAAAAGTAAAGAATGTTTTCGTTGTGGGTTTAGGGGTCATCAAGCAAACAATTGTAATTATCGTTATTTAAAATGTCATACATGTGGAAATATAGGGCACATAAAGAGAAAGTGCAGATCAGAAAAGAAAGAGTTAGATCATAGGAAGAAAAAGAAATTATGTGTGAAGAAAATTGGGATTCAAGATGAATCAGAAAAAGGATGTACTGCTGAAACAGAGGGAAATAAAGATGATTTTCTCGTGTCACATGATAGAGCCGAAAATATTTATCCTCGAAAATATCACCGAAAAATTTCACAACTGAAAATTTTAGAACCGAAAAGTATAATTTCATTGCAGGATCGAATTACAAAATCCTTTCTTGCGCGGAAAGTTTTTAAACCGAATTTTACAACCGAAAAAATTTGGATCAAATTACAAAATCCTTTCTTTTTTTAATCTATTTTTTTTTTTTTTTTTCAGTTAGTCCTTTTTCAATAAAATATACAATTAAAATTTCTTTAAAATTTATATACATATATCTTATACTGCTGAGTTAGGTAAGCATGATGATGTCATACTCACCTAACATCAAATAGCTTGGTGCTGGGGGCTTCAGTACATACATCGACTGACAAATAGCCTGACTCGCAGTGGAGTGCTGCTACATCGACTGAGGGTTTAGTATGGGTCAGCAACCTTTTCATTCATTATTCTTCGTTTTCCCTCATCGTTTTCTAAAAACGCTCACTTAATTGTAATTAATTAAGTGTAACTTTCGGTTGTAAACCATTTTAATGAAATTCGGTTCTAAAATCATTAATGACTTTCGATCGAAAATTCGATTGAAATTTTTTCGGTTCTAATTTTTTTCGTAAATATTTTCGGTTGTGTAATAAATTTCTCATATTCGGTTCTAAATTGAAATTAGAGATTCGGTTGAATCATAGGACGCCGATTTTCTAGCTCTATATTCAATAAGTGAAGAGTCCGATAAAGTGACTGGACCAGTTATGGTTAACGTAAAAATTAATGGAAGTGAGGCTTCTATGGAAGTGGATACAGGGGCAGCTGTCTCTGTAATGGGATCTCAGCTTACAAAAGAATAAAGAAGAATGAAGGAAAATTACAAAATTCTGGTGTTGTTTTGAAAACCTACACAGGAGAGCTGATTAGACCAGAGGAAATAGGGTTGGTTGAAGTAGTGTATAATGGACAATGTTGTAAGTTACTTATAACTAAAAGTAAAAGGAAATGTGCCCACATTAATGGGTAGAGACTGGATGCAGCGTTTAAATCTGCAATGGTTAGAACTGTTTAAAAGAATGAGAGGAATTAATTTCTGTGATAAGGTTGATTCAAGAGTGAAGACATTAGTAGAAAAATACCCAGAAGTATTTAGTGACCGCTTAGGGTGCTTGAAGAACTTCCAATGTCACATACCACTACGTGAGGGTGCAGAACCTAAGTTTTATAAAGCAAGATCAGTACCCTATGCTTTAAGGACTAGAATTGAACAAAAATTTGATCGCTTAGAAGACCAAGGAGTTTGGAGGAAAGTCCAGTATTCTAAATGGGCAGCCCCTATAGTGCCTGTTTTAAAGAATTCTAAGGATCCTACTGGTCCATTAAGAATATGTGGAGATTATAAGATTACAGTAAATCAAGCAGCCCCAGTTGACAGTTATCCAATACCGAATATCACTGATCAGCTAGCCACTATTGCAGGAGGAGAGAGATACACCAAGCTTGATTTGTCTCAAGCTTATCAACAATTGGAATTAAATGAAACTTCGCAAGAGTTTTTAACTATAAATACTCACCAAGGGTTGTATCAGCCAACTCGTCTTCAATTTGGTGTACATAGTGCGACTGGCATTTTTCAAAGGAAGATGGACAGGAGGCTGGGCTGGGCAGACTGTCAAGTGCTCATTCATGCAACCTGAGGTGGAGTTTTGTGGATTTATAATTAGTCAGAAAGGTTGTAAACCAACAGCACGGAATGTGGAAGCAGTAATGAATGCGCCTCGACCCACGAACATCAAGGAGTTGAGGGGATTTTTAGGAATGGCCAACTATTACAATGCCTACATACCCAGGATGGCTTCCATCACAGAGCCACTCCATAATTTGTTAAGGAAGAATGTAAGTTGGGAATGGAATAGAAACAGTGAACAAGCCTTTGAAAGCGTAAAAACTATATTGTGCAATGCACCTTTATTAGCTCACTTTGACCCATCAAGGAAAATCGTGGTTCACTGTGACGCCAGTCCATATGGCGTAGGAGCCGTTTTGAGTCAACAACAGTATGATGGAAGTGAAAAACCTGTCAGTTTTGCTTCAAGAACATTAAATATGGCAGAGCGAAATTATGCACAAATTGAAAAGGAAGGATTAGCATTAGTTTTTGCTGTAAAAAAATTTCATCAGTTCTTATTTGGACAAAAATTTACATTGTATACAGATCATAAGCCCCTATTAGGACTATTTTCAGAAAGCAAAGAACTTCCTACAAGAGCTGCTGCTAGAGTGTTACGCTGGGCTTTGCTATTGACAGCTTATGATTACCAATTACTATATTGTCCTGGCGAAAAGAACGCAACTGCAGATGGTCTAAGCCGTTTACCTTTAGATGTATCAAAGGAAAAGTCAAGGTTGGAACTAGTAAAAACCCCAATTACAGAAAAACAGTTGAGAGGAGCTACCCAAAACGATCCAATATTAGGAGTGGTACTGAATAGAGTGTTAGAGGGAGGGTTGACGATGGAACCGAGTAAGGTGGAGATGAAATCATTTGCATTAAGGTTTTCTGAGTTATCAACGTAAGGAGGTTGTTTACTGTGGGGAAGAAGAGTGATAGTGCCAAGTGTCTTAAGAGAAACGGTACTTGAGGAATTACATGAGATGCATCCCGAAATAAGTAGAATGAAGGCTTTAGCAAGAAGTTATGTTTGGTGGCCTGGCATTGACACAGAAATAGAGGATAAAGTAAAGAATTGTGAGACATGTCAAAGAAGTCAGAAGAATCCATTAACCTGGTCTCATCCTTGGGAATATCCAAGTAGACCATGGGAGCGACTACATATCGATCATGCAGGCCCAATGAATGGGAAAATATATTTGGTAGTAGTTGACAGTTTTTCAAAAATTACGTCAAAAATTATAGTAGAGGTGAAAAGTGGATTGCAGCTATAATTATATCAGCAGTTGGGAATGTTAGTTACAAAGTGTTAACGTTAGATGGTCGTATCCAGATGAGACATGTGGACCAAATTGTAAATCGTTATGTGGGAAAGGTTAACTCTACTAAAACACCAGAAAGCATAAATACTCCAATTCTGAGCAATGCTGATAAACCAAATGAAGTGATTGAAACTCCATGTTCAAGCGAAATCTTGAGTGAAAATCGTGATGAGATTAGCTTGGATGTTGAGCCCGAGAAACTGTGAGACATTATATTGAGAGACACGAAGCAAGAACTTTACTTGTAGTGTGGTGTTATAAATAAATTACATATTGAGTTATTACTAAGAGTTGTTATTATATTCAGTGGTGTTATTGTTACTATTAGGTTATAACAATATATATATATATATATATATATATATATATATATATATATATATATATATATATATATATATATATATATATATATATATATGTATATATATATATATATAAGAAACAATACAAGAGTTAAAATGATCCAGCATTCATCATTCAAGGCACCCACCATCTAACAATGTAACTCATGTTTAAATCTACCCTAGCTTATTGATAAAAAAAGAAGTGCAAGGCTGGCCTACAAATATTTTCCCTTACTTCTAATGTATTTACCCAGGAGATTTTCTACATGGTAGTAGCCGGATGTTAACATCTGCACAGGAGAAATATTTTAATCAAGGACGCTACCTCTAGCCTAAACTCAACAAAGAACCTCAAAGCCCATACTTTAAATTATGGTTAAAAGGCAGTAAGATTCTGCCAGTTTATACTTGATTACATGTTACCAGTAGCAGGGTGATCATGAATAACATGATTATGACCTGACCTGTATTAGGTAGTTTTATTTTGTTGATTATTCTTACAATGGGTTAATTAATTGGTATTAGCATCAGTATCAGCCCTTTTTTTGTTGATTGGCATTGGTATTAGTATCCATTGAAACATCACTATTAAATAGGTAGAAGATGCAAGAAGTGTACATACATAAACTGACTAAAATGGTAGAACATGCAAAAGGTGCCGCTATATTGACTGACTAAATAGGTAGAACATTTTCTGGCCTGGTTTATTAGTGTTCAATTTAAAACAACAGCAAAAATGTATTCCGTATATTATTATAACATTTGAAATTTTTTGAACTGAAAATATTTTTATAAACAAAACTATATCAAAATTTTATAAATAATTATTACTTACAAAAAAACATCAAGAAAAAATTGAAAAAAATTCAAATTTCTCATAAAAGAGCACTTATTTTTTATTTCGAGTTTTAAAATATCATTTTGTATGCAGTACAATCTAAAATCTTTTTTTTCTATTTATAATTGCGCTTATATCACTCTTAAAAGATTTTAAAATGATTCTGGAATGGTATGCTGTATTTTTTCTTACTTCACTTTAAGTACAGTTTATATACGCACAAAAAAATGACTGCATTAAATAAAAAACTACCTTTGTTTTTTGATTTTCCAGCACATCAAACCACAAAGTTCCATTGTAACTATACTTAACTGCATATGTCTTAACAAAACTAGCAACAGACTCATGTGACCCAATTAAAATTTTAGCAACTGCTTGTACAAAACCAAGATCAACTTGAAACCAAGGGGCACTATCATCTTTGCTGGCACACCAAACTTGGTCTCTTTTTGTACTAACGCTTTAAATAATGAAAATGTTACACATTTAGAAAGTTGTGCAATGTCATGTTAACTTAATATATAATTTTATAAACAATATTTTTCCATACTTCTAGATTATCATAAAAATCATATTACTTATGTTAAATGTAGTATATAAAAAAAAACATTCAGAAAAACATTCAAAGACATTCAACCTTTTAGTATGCTTTTGTTTATTTCTTAATTTTGATTTTTGTTAATTTATTAATAGTAATGAGGCAACTGTTTGGACTATTAGATAGTGCACTGAGCACTATCTGCGCTTTGATTCAAGTTCTTTAACCAATTTAAAAAATGACTTAAGTATCAAGAACTATAAAACACAAAAAAAACATCCTCTTCACCAAGTTCTCTAAATCTGTCATTCACTAATATTTGTTGTCTTTAAAGTAACTTTTCTTCCGTTAAATCTCATGCAAAGTTCAACATATCTGCAACAACTCTTTATGAGACTAATTTGAGTTCAGCTGTCTGAACACTTGTGATGTTTATGTTGATGATTATTTTCTTCTGATGCGTAAAGACTCCAATAGTAACATGTTTGGCCTGGGCATTTATATTCATAGGAATTCACCCATTTATCAGGAAACTAGGTATGAATCCACAGACTATTTTTTTATGTGCTTTCATTTAGCACAACTTCTCTCTATCACCTTTCTCCTTATTATTCTATATTATTATTCTATATTGCTCTCCTTCCTCTCCAGATTGCACTCTTTTCGATGATTTTTGAAAATTTCAGAAAGATAGTTAATACCAAGCCTTTTTTTTTATCCTTCAGCCAATAACATTATTGTTAGTGACTTACATGCTAATCACACTGAATGGCTTGGTTCTAGTGTCAGTGACCCCGTAGATGTAAAGGCCCTAAACTTTTGCCTTTCTCAATCTCTTACACAAATAGTTAACTTTTAAACTTGCTTTCCAGACAATCCAAATCATTTACCTTCTCTAATCGATTTATGCCTTGTTTCTGATCCTAGTCAGTGCCCAGTTTCTCCACATTCACCCTAAAATCACAGATTGATCTCTTTAAACTATTATTTCACCCTTATTCAACATCAGAATCCCCCTATCATTGTACCTCTTATTACTATTTTAAAGCTAGCTGGGATTCTTTCCATGATTTTCTTCGTGATAGCCCTTGGGTAGAAAACTTTTGTCTTCCTGCTGACAAATGTGCTTCTTATGTAACTTCTTGGATTTAAGCTGGCATGGAATTTTTTGTTCCCTCTCGAGGATTCCAAGTCTAGCCTCACTCTTCTCTATGATATTCTTCTCATTGTGCTGCTGCAATTTCCAATCATAACCATTACTTGCACAGCTATCACCAAAACAATCCAATTTTATCAAATGCTTTAGATATTTCTAAAGCATTTGATAAAATTTGGCATGCTGGTATTCTCCATAAGCTCTCTTCATGTGGTGTATCAGGTAAAATTTTCAAGATTATTAAAATTTTTCTTACCAATCATAGTATCAAAGTTGTCTTCGATGGATAGCAATCTTCTTCATTTCTTGTAACTTCAGGGGTTCCTTGAGGTTCTATTCTTGGCCCTATACTTTTTTTAATTTACATTAACAATTTCTCTGAAATTCTCACATCTAAGGTGGCATCATTTGCTGATGAAACTACCATTTATTCTTGTCTTGATAAGAAGCCAACACTCTCTGATTGCTTGGAGGGGACATTTGAGCTTGAAAAGCTCTAATTTCTGTTACAGCAGACAGTTGGGGCTCTCAGTGGCTGATCAACTTAAATTCTAATAAAACTCAATTTTTTTCAGCTAACTGTTATTGCAATAATCTAGATCTTCCAATCTTTATGAATGGTAATATGCTAGATAAGTCATCTACCCTTTGTCTTTTAGGATTAACACTTACTGCGCATTTTTTTGGAAATCATATATCAAATTTATTGCAAAATTAGCATCTGCTAAGGTTGCATGGCGAGCACAATAAAGAGTTATTGTGCTCGCCACTTTCTTACTTCTGACTCTATTCTTTATCTCTGTTAATCTCAAATCTGTCCTTGTATGGAATAGAGTTTCCATATATAGAGTAGATCTTTGAATGATGCCTTTTCTCTTTAAGACAAGGTGCAAAAACGCATTGTAAACAAAGTGGGACCTTTTCTTGCAGCCAACCTCCAACTATAGTCATATCATTGTAATGTTGCTTCTCTTTCTCTTTTCTATAACTAGTATAATGGGTGCTGCTCTAAAGAGCTAGCGCCACTTGTGCTATGTAATAAAATTCATTCTCATAATACTTATCATTTAATTATTTCTCATCTTTTTGCATTGAATGTTCTTAAGTGCTTCAAAAAATTCTTATTAGTCTGATTTTTTTTGTCAAACATCAATTCTTTGAAGTTTGCTCCCTTCATCTTGCTTTTCTGATTCATATAATTTGCAATCTCCTAAGTTGTCTGCTAATCCTGCGTTATAAACTTTATCTCTTCCAGTTACTTAAAACTCTAAAAGTGGTTGCTTGCAGTCTTGTTGAAAGTGAAGATGTCAAAAAAAAATATTTTAATAAATGTCTTTTATTTTATATCATTTGTTGTACAAATAAATAACATTATTAAAAACCGAAATAAACTTTATTATGTAACCTTAACACATAATATTCTTGCTCATGATATCACTTATCATAACAATAATCACTACAAAAAATTTGTTATTTGAGATTGCAATTCTATTGTCTACTGATTTTCCAAAACTAACCTTTTATACCAATAATGAAAATTTATTTAAAATAAGTAGGAATGCTCATAAAGGTTGATATTTGTTTCCATTTATAACTACTTAATAGACAAAACATTTATAAAAGTTCTATGCTGAAATTTTAAGCTTGTATAAAATATTGAAAATATTTTCAGGCAACACATATCATACGTGTTGCCTATACGTGTTGCCACACGTAACATACATTGTATGTTTCAATCTTTTGAAGATACATCATCACAGTTTGTGTCTGCACTTTTGCTTTAAATTTAAAACTTATCATACCCAACCTATCTCTTAACCTTAAGTTTCCTTATTAATTATCCTTCCCTCTGTTTTCCTTGCCTTATCTTAAACCACTATTAATATTGGCATTAAAAAAATGATACCTTTTTCATTTGTTCAATAATAATAATTATTATGATAAGTTTTATTAATTTTGAAGTAAGGGTTTTTTGAAATTTGAATTTAGAAAAAAAAAATCAATTACTTTATTATATTACAAATTAAAAATTTAAAAAACGGCAAGAAGCATTTAACATTTTATCAGAGGCGATTTTACGGGTGGGGGAAAGGGGGAGGGAGGGGTTACACCACCACCCCACTCCACCCCACCCCCACCCCCACCCCCTGAAGAATGTGATTTTCAAGTTATAGTCGTTTTTTTTATGAATTTAGTTGGCAGTCGGCTATATCGGAGTGGGTTTAATTTTTTTTTTTAATTTTAAAATTTAGGGCCCCACATCCCCTTAAAAAATTTTCATAAAAAAAAAAAAAAGTGCGAAAATTTTCTTTTTTTAAATTTTTTTTCATTTCTTTCATTTCTTATTTTAAAAAACTTTAATTTTTATTTTTTACCATATAAATAACTTACATATTATTATGTTAATATTCAAATAAAATAAAAAAATTGTTTTGTTTGCACTTTATATAAATGTTTTTAACAAAAAAAACATGGTTCATCTTGAGTAAAAAAATAAAAAAACTTTCAAACATACCATATAAAACCAACGAATCAACCTGTATCAACCGCTTAAAGTTATATATCATTAAACACCACTATGGTACTGATCTCGTGGTTCAAAAATTGGCTGCCTATAGCTGCCTAAACGAATACACTTTTAAATTCAAAAACTATGTATACGTTTCTCATTACTGTGTTTTTTATCGATAATAATAAATTTAAGAGGATTTATGAATTTAAGAGCAAAAGAAAATTTAATGAAAAACATAAAAACTGCGGTTTGAATTCTTAATAATTTTTTTTATAGACTTAAGTTTTAAAAAAAATATTTTTTATTTTTTGATTTCTAGTTACTGCATAGCTCAATAAACATTTAGATTAAAAAATTTAAAACAGAAAAAAAAAATTTAGAATCTAAATGTTTTAAAAAAATTTAAAACATTTAGCAAAAATTGTTAAAAAAATATGCAACAAAGAGTTATCGACAGGACCACTTACGTCAGAACAGTCCTTAGCATTAGTCTTATAAGTTAATTTATCCTAAGAAATTTATCAGCATTTAAAAATAATGCTCTTCAATTTAACTCTCTATACCCATCATATCATATATTAAAAGAGGCTAAAAATAAATGCTACCCTGAAAACATTAAGGTCAGTGACTACTCTGCAGAGGTACCATTACAAGATCTTTTATTTCATTCTGCATCAAGATTATGTTCAGCTTATAGTGTTGTGTTAAACTCGTCTGTGCTTAAACATTGTACTAGACTAATTCTAATATACAAAGCTGGCTTAGATGGTGCAACAAACATGTTTTGTAATCATGTATCTGTTTATAAACAACAGACAGATGATACGAGTGAACTTAATACTGACAAACCCCTTTTCCTAACTTGCTTTGTTCTTCTAGAACTATATTGTTTCAAGGATGAGAAAAAATAGGTTGTTTGGAGAAATCCGAAACCATCTTCAACTAGTTACTGAGGGCCTCTGTAATAGTTTATATTCAACTAGTTACTAGGCCTCTGAGATTTAAACATAAAAAAGAATCAAAAGAAGTAGTTTTTGCAAAGTATGAGTCAATTATGGCTTCTATTAAAAATATAATATTATCCAATGTACCTGTTTTATTGGAGGAAGTACAATGAAGGAAGTTGTTGTACAATATATTGTAAATATAACAATGATAGATGGAAAAATTTAAACTATTCTTTCCACAGCTACCAACTCTTACCAATGCTGTTCAGTGTGTGATGCATCTCCAACCAAAATGGACTATCTATCT